GAATGAAACTGGCAGCATCCTCATGGTGGAATCACTATTCTTCCTCCTGTTCCAATCAGTGGTACCGAACTCTTCGACTTTTGCGCAGAGTATTGTAAAGCTCAAACGCACGAAGAGAGGTTGGCCGTGCGTCATAAAATAAATAACCATAATTTCTTAATGCAGGACCCTCTTCTGCGGATGCCCTGTCGACAACTGTATAACCCAGCCGACTATGTGCTGCGTATAGTTCACCTCTGCTCAGAGCTTGTTTCTGCTTCAGAGGAAGAGTACCACGGGGCCTACGGCGTCGCACCACTTCTTCATATTAACCCTGTTCAAGATGTTTGCGGCAAGCTGCGCAGCATGTTTCAATCTGGCAGCCTTTACGTCAAGCCTTGGATTCTCGATGAGGAGGAGGAACGACGAGAAATGGACGAAAGCAACAGAGGCGTGCTTTTCAATTCGGATTCTTTTGGAAATGGCCGGGGCGGCAGCAGCATCAGCAGCAGCAGTGAACGGAGCGTCGATGAGAACGACGTGGCAGACGAGGATCTAACTGGACAGGAGGTTGTTGACAACGCGACGGATACAGTGGTGGAGTACCTCTCCGAAAAGGACTTTGACGTGGTAACGGAGAGCGGCATATTCTATGATGATTCTGGGGAACGGGTGCATGCCATTTATCTTCGAGGTGGAATTAAGAAGGAACTCTGTCAGCGGGCCGCTATTGCCATTGAAGAAGCTGCGACGACCAAAAATCTGCGCAAAGCCGTCAATGGAGGGAAAACGAACCCGGAAACGGGTATTGTGGGCTACTATGACTACTTGAATAATCCCACACAGCGCAAGTGCCGTGAGACAGAGTTTACACGAAAAAATTGGAGTTCTGTAGTCGACTCCTGCGAGCCATTTCTTGTGGCACTAAATAAACTTTACAGTGAGTGTGCCCCGACGCATTACAAACTTCAACGCATTGCTATACCACGCCATTATCAATTGTTTAATACGGTTTTTAGTACAATGACGGTTAATCGAAATTTTCGAACTGCTGTTCACACGGATCGGGGTGACTTCCGCAGTGGATTGGCCGCTCTCTGTGTGATAGACGGGGTCTTTGAAGGGTGCCATTTGGCGATTAAAAAGTTGGGGAAGGCATTTCGTCTTGAAACGGGGGATGTTTTGTTCTTTGATACATCCCTGGAACACGGGAACACCGAGGTCCACAACTTTGATTATTGCTGGAAGCGGGTGAGCGTTGTCTGCTACCTGCGAAATGGTCTCATGTCTCAAATATGCGAGATGGAACGACGCCAGTGGCTTCAAAAGCAGATGTTGAAGCAACGTCTTCTGGATAGGAGTCGCCAGAGTGTTATAAACCTAAATGCCACGGACCCAAACCTTCCTCCCATATACCTTCCTGGAAGATTGCTGGAGGTTCTCTCCCCCGTTCAACAAGCCGCTCTTGGATTTGTTGTGGATCGACTTAGCAAAGGCAACGGGTGTGTAATTGCGCTGACGATGGGATTGGGAAAAACGTTGCTTTCCCTGGCACTGTGCTATTCGCATATGTATGACCAAAATCCACGGGATGTACTTATTTTGGCACCGAAGATTGTTCTTACTCATTGGACAGGAGAAAAGCAAAAGTGGGAAAAGTACGGCCTTGTTTTTTCACATTTTGTCGTCTCCGATGGGACGGACTCTGTTTCCTTTGAAATCGCACTCAAGCGATATAAACAACAGCTCAATGGGGAGTTGCCCAGAACCAGTCATGTGTTTGTCATCAACCCCGAGTACATCCGGACGGTCCTGAAAAAACTCACCGGATTTCGTCCAAGTCTTATTATTGTCGATGAGGGTCACCGTGTGTCCTCCAAGGGAAGCAAATTGAAGGACTGGTTGGAGGGACTGCGGTGCACGGCGCGTGTGATACTCTCTGGAACGCCTGTGCAGAACAATGCGGAGGAATTATACCGACTCATCGGCTGGATAAACAGCGACGTTCATTCTGTTCTACCCCCACGTGTGTTTACGGATCTTGCGGGGACTATCAATCGTTACATTAATGGAGATGATTCGGCACTTGCCGCAGCCGTGTCTGCGCAACGTTATATTCAAGAGTGGATGTGTTCCTATGTTTTTAGCGTCATGAAGACAGACCTTCCACCACTTAATGACTATATTATTATTTGTGGATTTTCCAGCATTCAAAGGAAAATGCTTGAGGATCATTTTGGGATGGAAGGGATCGATGGGCTGACAAGCATAAAGGCATCTGAGCACCGTCCATATCACCTCTCCACACATCCGCTTTGTTTTTTGGGATTTATATCCGGAGTCTATAAATCGCTTAATGGAAATCATAAGTTGACGCCTGAGGCGGAGGAAGAGCTTGAGTCGCAGGAGTATGCATCGCAGCTATATTCACTGACCGAAGATGACATTGGACTGATTGATGAGTGTTTATCGCTGGTGAGCTCTGGTTTCCTAACGGAGTTTGTGGGCTTAAGTGGGAAGATGACTGTTCTCATTTCGATATTGCATTCAATTCGTGAAAAAAAGGAGAAGGCCATCATCTTCTCTCAATACGTCGGATCACAAGACTTTATCTCGCGAACATTGACTTCATTTGACATCGTCTCCTCCACCATCCGCGGAAGGGACTGTCATGAACGTCGAAGACGAACAATAGAGAAATTTAGAGAGGATGAGAACATTACTTGCCTTCTCTTATCAACTCAAATTGGCGCGTATGGCCTTGACTTCACTGCCGCAAACCACGTTATCCTGTGGGACAGTTGGTGGAACCCTCAAGTGGAGTCGCAGGCCATCGCACGAGCATACAGAAGAAATCAAACACGAGCAGTCATTGTTTACCGTCTTGCCTCGGAGTTCGAGGATACAATTGTCCTCAAAACGCAGATAAGGAAACTGGCACTATTCAGATGTATTATGAATGAGGAAGCATCACGTGCGGTACCTCCTGAAGAGCTGCTGGATTGCGTTGACACCGAAGAAGATGAGGGAAGACGCTTTTTATGGCGTTCCCTTAAGAAGAGTTACCTGGAGGGTGGTGCACCGGCGGTATCCAAGGTATTCCGTCATGGCGACACGGTGAGAAGTGAATCATGGTCTTAATAACTGCATATATTTGGCTTTTTTTTTTTTTAATTCTTTTTAGATGTGTTTGTGTGTCCTTTTGGCACGGTTCTTTCCCATAATCTTATATTGGTGTTGTGTTTGTTTTACTATATACTTAACACGTGAAAGGAGAAAATAAACGCAAATAAATAAATATGCGCTTCATATTTGCTCTTCGTATTTCTTTCCAATGATAATGTTAGGGTTTTCGGTACGCCTTCTTGCCCTTCATTGGGCTGACCTCTGTCATGCATGCACGAATCTCTCTCTCTCTCTCTCTTTTTTTTTTTTTTTTTTTGTGTGTGTGTGTGTATGTTTTGTTTTGTTTTGGTTACCTATACATAGTATTCTTGCTGCTGCTTTTTTTTTTTTGTTTTTGCATTTACGGAAGCCAAGTTGCAGACCGAGCATGATGATCAGCTGCAGGTGTACATGGACGGTGTCATTTGAAGACTGAAGCATGGGATCAATGACATTGCTGGATGTAAAGCCAATGCCGCCGCAGGCCACTGTGGAGCGGGAGAAAAACATTTGCCTGACCCAATAACTTCAGATGTTTGTTGTTTATGAAGTCGAGCTGGGCTTCTAAAAACGTTGAGGCATGAGCGTTTGACGATCGAAAGGAACTGGACCGTTTCTTGCGGGAAACACTGGCCAAGACAAAAGCAGAGCTCCTTAATAAAGCAGCGCTGTGGGAGCTCTGGTGGCGTTCAAGAAAGTAGAAAGTTATGATACAAATTAGGAGCCCTTTTTTTTTTTCTTTTTCGTGGGTGTCTGTGGGTACCCGAAACATTGGGACGATGCCGTAGCCCCTCTTTGTGAAATGTCCATTGACTTTAATCAGCGGCTTACCAGAGAGATGCAAATTTGATGCGACGAGAGGGGAGAAAAATGGATGAGACGCCTGAATGAAACCTTGCTCTCACTGTCCAGAAGTGCAGGCTTTAGAGAGTGACGGCGAGGAGAGGGGAACTCTGCTGCCGTACTGAATGGGTGGGGGGGTAAGGGTTACCTGCCTATACGGTTTGTAAGGTGGTTTTGCTTTCTTGTTGTTCTTGTTTTTTGTATTCTTTTGTGAGCTTCCCCCTCATCTCACCATTGCTCACCTGATCATTTGGTACTCCTGCCCATGTCATTTTATACATCCATTCTCATCCCTGTAACGGACAGTGGAGTCCCTCTAGCTTGCCGGGGATTGTTTGCATTTACTATTACCACTATTATTGATATTATTATTTACTTGTTTCATTGCCTTCTCATTATAAACAGTAACACAACAAAGGAAAACTAAAGAAAGAAATGGAGCAATGCCCCTTAGCCGTATGGTGAGGACCCGCCTACGCTTCAAGCTGCATGTGGTAAGAAGACGGTTACGTAAGCGGAGAGTGATACAAGCAGTTCCAAAGTTGGACGCAAAGAATTTGCGGTCGTGTTCTTTGTTTGCTAAATGGCCTTTAGAGGCCCTGTCCGATCTACGCCGGCGGATGTTGTGGGAAGTCCACCTTAAAGGGGAGACGATCCTGTATGGCGGGGAGCCGTGTAGCGTGTCGTCGTTGTTTTGGATCGCATCGGGAAGACTCTCGGAGGTGCCGAACAGGCGTGAGAAAAGTGGGACAAGGCGGCCTTCAAATAAGGAGGAGGAGGGTGTGGCTTCCATGGAGACGGTTGGGTCCGCAGAGCACTCCTCTGTTTCTCCGCACGTCGAGTTTGACCAAACTCTCGACACCTTCAGCGCTGGCCAGTTTGCTGCGGGAGAGCGTCTTTTTCTAGGCGCGACTTATCATAGAACCATGCGCTGTGAGAGTGACGTCACAGGCTTTGCTGTGAGTTTCCGCACCGTTCAAAAAATACAGAAAAAATGGGGTGTGCCACGCGAGGCCTCTGTATCCGCAGCGAAAGAAATTGTGAAGAAGCAGATGTTGAGAAGAGACGAAAAACCTTTGCTGAAACTCGCCCTGTTTAAAAATCGAGTTTTGCGGGGCCTCGATGCCACAACACTGCGTATCATTTGGGTCCTTCTCTCCCCCATGGTAGTGTGCGCCAATGAATTAATCTGTGCCGACATTTTTGACGCGGAAAACATTAGTTTCATTCAGTCCGGGGATGTGCGTGTGGGGTTCAAGCGGGGTCAACAAAAAGAAATAATTCTCTCTTGTGGTAGCGCCGTTGGATTACAGAGCTTTGCGCCGTCTGAAATGCCCCGTGGTCGTGGAGAAGGGCATACGGCAGCCGTGGCTGTCACCTTTTCTCAATTATGGAGCGTTGGACGGAAGGCGTTCTCGGAAATGGTGAGCGAAAGGGAGTGGGAAAAATGTGCGGCAATTGCTCTGAGGACGATATATTTTCATGTAGACGATGAGATGCTGAGAAAGGTTGCGATATTCTCATTACTTCCCAGATCCAAGATTATGGCACTTGCAAAACGGGCGGAATTACGCTTCGTTCGCGGTGATGAGTATATACTGCCCCCTTGGAAGCGACCACAAGAAGCCATCGTGGTCTTGGTAGGCACCGTGTATTTTACGCAGAAGACTCCTGCCGAGGAAGCATTGAATAATGGAAAGATGGACAGAATTAGAATTCCTTGTGGTTATCCTGTGGCATTTGCCGAGTGTGTTGCGAGAATGCCATTGAAGTCCGGCGTGTTTGCCGCGACAGGCGCTCTCATCGTTAGCCTAACGCGTCGCGCCATGTTGGAGAGTCTTTCGGAAAATGCCGCCGGAAATGACATTGAGCCCGTGGTTTTAGAAGCAGCGATGAATCAATTAAATGTCTCGCCCTCCTCTCGCAGTGCGACGCGCATCGTTAATAAGGCCCAGGAAGAGGCTTTGCAAGACATGCGGAATTATTCACGGCCACAAAATGGCAACCTGCCGCCATGGAAGAATGAGCTCCAGGACCTGTGCTCTCCCAATGATGATGTAGGTGAAATGATTGAGCTCCATACCCAGGTGCTATCAACCCTCGCCCTGCAGGTGCATAAACTTCGCCCAAACATGGAGAAGGCAGGTCGTGTGGGAGTTCACTACGACAATGCGTCCCGCATCGCTATGAAGAAAATATCGACCAACGAGTCGCCAAGTTGTCACCGATCGCGATCCTGTTTTACTATTGACAAAAAAGGCCGTGTTATGTTTTGCAGCAAAGGAGCTATCGCAGAGAGGAAAACGATGGGCCGTGTGCAGCCAACTGATGTGCTAAGCGGGACGGAAGGAAATAGGGAAATCCCAAGACAGGCGTTGCCAATTTGTTTGCCAGTCAAGAATGGTCTTTCAAAAGCATCCCAAAAACTTCCGTCCTTTTCAGCCCTGCGATGCGCCCCAAGCGAGAAACTTGCTGCCGTCGTGGGTCATTCTCCGGTGTCTCAGAAGGTGATGGAACTTCGGCACGAGGGGAAACGGCTAAAAGATGAAGCCGAAAGCAATTGTATTCTCCCATTGGATTGTTTTTTGCCCAATCAGCGGCACAATAACCCACACAAATATATATAATGTAATCTAGTGGAGAAGATGTAAATGCGTACATGAGAATTAGTGTCTTGTTGCTTTTGTTGTCTCTTCTCGTTTTCTTCCTGAGACTGCAGCTGGATGGCTGTGTGGCTGGAGAACGAGGGCCGAAGTGAGTGGTGGGGGAGAAATGCTTAAGATGGTTTTTCCTGCTGGCAAACAATTATCGGCCCCCTATCTCTGTCTGCTTATGTCTCTTTTCCATCGCAACCTATTGAGCCCCTCTTTTGTTGATTTCTTTCTCGGGGAGGATTTTTCTTTTTTTTTTTGTTTTGTTAGTGTGAGGAGGCGTGGCGTGTGGGCGAGTCATGCCAAGCCCGCTAACCGTGTACGTGCTTGGCTCCCCGGCCTCGGGAAAAACAAGCCTGCTGCGTCAGCTCTCCTGCATGTGTGAAAATGGCACTCTACGTACCCGTCCGACCCATGACGCCCCAACGAAGGGACAGGAAGTTTATTCACTTGTCATTCAAGCACCGCAGCCAAAGGCGTTATCCTGCACGGTCGAAATTCGCGAGTTGGGCGGAGAAATGGCACCGGTGTGGGAGAAGTTTATTCAGTCATTTATGAACTCCATAAAGAGCAAGGGTGGTCCCAATTGTGCTCTGATGTTTTTCGTGGATGCATTATCCCCTCACCTGCTCCCTCTGGCCTCTGTCATGCTCAGCCGACTAAAAGGTTCCGATGGGGTTTGTCGGAACTGGCCGACGGTGGTGCTGCTGAGCAAGGCCCTTGCAATGAACGCCATGACGGAGGAAGAGTTGTGGTTTTTTCTCCCAGCAGATACCTGCAAAAATATCCAGGTTTTTTCCGTCGATTCTTGGAATGGGCTTGGGCTTGGCGATGTGCTGGCATGGCTTAGCGGCGTGGCGTCCTCGTGCTAGGGTTCTTTAGACGAACTTGGAGGGACCAAACGGAAGGAAAAGATGTGTATACGGAGGGATCTTTGCCCATATGTCTGTATGAATTACAGGCCTTTCTTTTGCTGGCAATAACTTAACTGCTTTTTGAACCCGTGGAAGATTATTGACGTGAGGGTGTGAGGGTTTGTTGGGTGGATCCTATATTCTGTCGGGCTCTCTACTCACTCACGACAGAAGTGAGAGGAGGCGAGTTGTCGAAAGGTGGGATTGTGTCTGCGTTGTTTATTGCCTGTCTCTTGTTGGCGCCACTCGCTTTTAACGACGCATAGAGAAGCCGGTTGGAAGTTTTCTTTGTATTCCCTGGCAACACTGTGTGACCCGGGACCCATTTTGTTTTTCCTTTCTCTCTTTTTTCTTTTTTTTTTTTTTTTTTTTTTTGTGGGGGGGGGAATAGTGTCAGAACTTTTTTTCTTTCCGTGTTTGCTGTCTCCCACCAGCGGCAGCATTTCTCCGCAGAAAGACGACTGCGGAGGAAGAGACATCACCAGACTGACGGAAAAAAAAAAAAAGGATAGAAAAAAAGGGGCGTGGTGAGGGAAAATATGCATGGGAAGGAGCATCGCCTACGCGGGTGTTCTTTTGACGGGCCCCTTTACGACATCTCTGGATATCTGCTCTCACATCCGCTAGCCTTCCTTGCAGCTTCACCCACCACCCGGCAGGTGGCCGAACGCATCGTTTGTGAGCCGCTGCTCCGAAGCACAGTGATGCACCAAACCGGTAAAAATCAGCTGGAGGGGGAGCTGTGGCTGCCGCACAGCGGTGCCTGGTGCGGGCAACTGTCAAACCTCAAGTACACTTTGTGGTGGATTCGGCGACAGGCAGATGCCAACGACGGTAAATTGGCAGCTCTCTTTTTTGCGTATCGTAGCTCTATAAAAGACCTTACGGACGTAAAGGACCTGCGTGGCCTTCGCTTTCTGTTTATCCCAGAGGCTATTTTACTCAACAAAACGTTGTCCCCCCTTGCTTCGTGTCCCACATTGGAGCACCTCTGGCTGCGCTCCTGCCGCAGTCTCACGCGGGTGGAGGCGTTGAGCCATCTTCATTCTCTCAAAAGCCTTGATTTGTCTAGGACGGGGGTAACAGACGACGGACTTCTTGCACTGACTGCCTGTCACTTATTGGAGGAGGTGGATCTCTCCGGCTGTGACTTTATTTGTGCTCTTCCTTTTATGAAGAACATGGGGTGCCTCCGCGTGCTCAAACTGCGTAACTCGGGCATAACAGATCGTGCCATCTCCGCCATTGGCGCCGCCACCGCACTGGTTCACTTGGACATCGCTGGGTGTTTCCTCGTCACTTCCCTCAACCCACTTGGAGGCCTAAAAAGGCTTGAGTGGATGAATACCTCGTGGTGTGGGATCCGTGACGGCGGCGTAGAGGGTCTTTCCTGCTGTGATAACCTGGAATATTTGAGCATGGCCCGCTGCTGGGATATTCACAATGTGAATGCCCTGGGCGTGCTTTCAAAACTTCAAGTTCTTGACCTTTGTGGAACAAATGTGGATGATGAAGGCATTGCGGGGCTCTCCCGCTGTGCGTCACTATGTAGTTTGAACCTCAGCGACTGTTTTTGCATTTACTCCGTCCGTACGCTGGCAGCCATGCCAAGTCTTAGGGAGATGGATGTGTCCTACACGGCCGTGACCGAAGAAAGCCTCTCGCTGCTCCCAATTTGGGTACGCGTTGTAAGGAAACCCGTTTGCGTTGTCTCACCTAATGACTCAATAACCTTTTTTAGAAGTCGGAGGGCACCCTTGTTGTCGATAACTCCGTCTGTTGGTTGATTTGCTTCCTTTTACAAAGTAGTCAACCAGTTTTTCCCTCTCTTTTCCCTCTATATCTCTTACCCTTAGTTTACTTTTCTTGATGCATGCAACTTGTGTGTACAACGAAGACGGGGAAAAAGTAATAAAAAATAAAAAATAAAAAACATGTGCGCAACTCTAAAAAGGTGGATAGGAAAAATTTTTTATTGAGAAGCTTCTGGTTTTGTTTTGTTTTTTTTTTTTTTTTGTGTGTGTGTATTTCTGCCTTGAGAATTTTCGTTGCTTGAATGATTTATTTAGCCATAAAAACGAGTAATTTACCCAACTGATGCCGCTTGGCATGTTTGAGCGTCTATATATTAAATACATGCGTATACAAATGTCATTTTGTGTGGATTTGTGTTTTGTGCCGTATTTGTATTCTCTGCGTCGGCTGCAGGGTGGCGGTGCTTGCTAGTCTGCACCCATCCTTTTTTTTTATTGTGTTTTCTTTTTTTTTTTTTTTTTTTTTTGCTGCCGGCTGCGTACGCGAGGGCCTGGGAGGAAAAGCAACAAAAAAAGCGGGGAATCAAGTCAATGTTCTGCAGACTGTGCGCGGGAAGTCGTCTCGGAGGTGAGGCGCTGCGTTCTGAAGTGCTGGTGTCGCAGAGGCGACTACTCAACATAAACCGCAGCGTTCAGACGCGGTGGGAGGTGGAGAACCAAGCGGCGTCGCAGAAGCGCACCGACTACGACTTTGACAAGGAGCAGTGGTCCAAGCAGATGCGCTTTGCGTCGATGGATTGTATTATGAATCCTGACATCACCCCCATTCGCTACACGACGATCACAGGTCTCAACAAGGCCTTCCGGCGATTCATGACGATGCGGAAACTTGTCGAGCGTCGTCCGGACTTTAATCCGGAGGACCTTAAGAAACTTTTTGTTCAGTTAAAGACAATATCACATTCCCTTAACCCGGAGGATCTGAAACTGCTGCAGCGTATCACGACACATGGGGAAGCGAGTCGTATTGGGAAGGAAATTAAATTAGGAATGAATGAGGAGTTTTCCAAGAAGAGCTGGAAGTCCCTGAAGATGCAGGCGGTCCAGAACACGTACCAAATTGAGCTGGACTCATTTCAGTTGGTGAACTGTTACATGGGGCAAATGGCACAGGAAGACTGGCTCCAGATCACTTACAAGTGCGAGTACCGTGAGCGGCCTGATGAGGCATCGGAGTGGCAGAGCATGTGCGAGTACCCCGTCTTTGAGGTTCGTCTTGGCGACGGGGTACAGTCGTCCAACACACACGCGTTCATCGTTGTGGGTGTCATGCGGAAGGACGGTACGCGGTACGGAAAGGACTCCCAGGATGCCGCCGCCCTGCGCAAACAGTTTGACCGCAGTAGGAAGTGGTTTTAATCGCTACCACTTCTGGTTTGTTTGTTTGTTTTTCCTCTTGTGTCACATCGTTCTTGTTGTTTTTTTGTTGCCCGTGCCGTTGGAAATGGCGAGGGGTGGAGAGGATAGAGCAATCCGAATGTTCTTGTTGCTCACGGGAGTGTGTAGTCCCATGCACGTGGCGAGTGCCGCTGTGGGGCATTTTGGAAAGAACTGCGGCGTCGCACAGTGGCGTGGTGGGATTGCTCGTGCCATTTGCCCTGAGTGCATCCACGCGACGAGACTCCCTTAAAGGCACCGATGGAGGCACACAAACACACACACGCAAGAGAGGGAGAGAGAGAGAAACCGGGCGCAACGTTATTCAGAAAAGTTCTTTTAGATTTGGTGCAAAGCCCTTTTCTTCCTTTTTTTTTTTTGTTGTTGTTGTTGTTTTGCGCAGACGGTGGCACGAGTTCATTGATACCCCTGCCATGCTTGCAAGTTGCTTCTTGTTTCTCTGTCTTCTGTGGCGTAGGCGTGAGAAAGAGAGAGAGAGAGAGAGAGAGAGAGGAAAAAAGGAGGGGGGAAAGTAAAGGGGCAACGATGGAGGCTGTTGCTGAAAGTTACTTTACCAGCGGTGACATGAAGGCGGCGGCCACATTTTACTGCAATCTGATGGTATTGCATCCTAGGTACGTGAAGATGGCACGTATATGTAGAGTTCTGGCGGATCCCTCCGCGGTCCCCCAGCCACACCGGTACGCAGACATCGTGGAGGCACTTTTAGAGCCCACCGTCACCCATGAGGCCCTCTTTGGTGTCGATGCGAGTCCTGCAGACATCAACAAGGCCTACCAGCGCTGGACACTCTTGGTGCATCCGGACAAGAACCCCTACCCAAGGGCAGGGGACGCCTTCAAGCGGCTTTTTACTCTCAAGACGATGGCACTCGAAACCGCCAACGCGATGAAGGAGAGGAAAGATTATGAAAAATTATTGCACGGCGGTAGAAGACGTGGGAGAGGGAATTCCAATAAAAAGTCGGATGCTCCCGCAGCGCGAAGTCGACATGATGCGAACGCATCCCTCTCCGTACAGTCATCGGTGATTGACATGACGCTCTCCGAGTTGAAGAAGAAACAAGTCATCCTAAAGTCTTTGAAGCGAAAGGACATTGATGACAACGAGCTCCCGGAATTAAGGGCCGCTCTCCGTAGAGTGCGGGAACGTCGCTTCTGCTCGCGTCCCACAACGCCGTCGGTATTGACAGCCCCATGCATGACGACACCGTCACTCTCACCAGAGCAGTCCGTCTTGTCCACCGCTTCATGTCCGCCGCACGGATTCCACCCCGCGACGGAAAAGCAAAAATCGCTGACGCCTCCACCGCTTCCAAAAATAGGCACATTTCTGAAGACAGTGGCTTTGGACGAACAAATACAAAGCAGTTCAACCGTCAACTCTTCGCAGTGTGTGCTGTCCGACACGGTTTTGGAGGAGCAACTAGAAGAATTATCCACTGAAGAAGTCCGCCCGGGCCAAGAACAAACCACGACTGACGTGGAGACGGAGTTACCTGAAAATGAAGATGTAAAGACATTGAATGAACAAAATGGAATAGAGAACACATGTTCTATCATTCGGAAACCACAAATTGCAAATTCCTCCTCGTCGCCGCCCGCGTCGGTGACGGATGACGGTGTGCCGCTCAAAGATGCGGTCAAGGGAAGTATCATTGAGTTGATTCGAGGCATTCAAGAGATGAAGGTCAACCGAACAAATCTTAGGCTGAGTTGTGATCTCACGTTTGCCACATATGAACGGGAGAAGCAACAGCAGAAAAGAGAAGCTGACATGAAAGAGAAATTTGCAGAATGATTGGGCTTTACATGGGGATACACCAGATAGTCTACAAAAACGGTATGTATATTTCCCCATTCACCTATTTCACGGAATGCGCTGTGTGTTTCTTATTGGAGTTCCCCCTTTTGTTTGTTGTGTTGTTTTGTTTTTCTTTACCCATTATTGTAATTATCCTTTCTTTATTTGTACATTAGGAAGGGGCAGGGGAAGGGGAAAAAAAAAAAAAAAAAACAATTTTTTTGAAGGGTACCTTTGCTCTCACTTTATTGCGTGATTGTACCCCGTTGTGCGGTATGAACGATGAGTTTATCCTTCTCCCACTTATCACCGTGTGTACGATTTCTTCCTTATCTATCTGGTTACTCTCCCTACATATATATTATATATGAATCTCTCATCGTCTTTCCTTGCGTGCATTGCAGTGATAAGAAAACAAAACTGAAGGAGTGAAAAAGAAAAAAGACCCGTTACGCTGCCAACCACACACACACACACAGAGAGAGAGAGAGAGAGAACGAGAGGGGAGTACACATAACGTCACAAGGCGTGGAAACGCGGGGGAGCGGTGAGCCATGCCGTTACCAAAGTGCTGGCAGACCATATCGCTGCCTGAGCTGGCACCCTCACGTCGGGCGGCTGGTGGCACAGCTGCAGCGCCGGTGGCGGCTGTTTTTGTTCCCCCCTCTGTTTCCTCGCTGAATTTTGATGAGGAGGCCGCTGTGGACACAGACAGAAAGATCGAGCGACACCGCTACGCCAAGCTGCTGCTGCACCATGTGCCGCGTTACCAGCAATTCACATCGATGGATCTTTTTGCCGAAACCTTTCTGCGAGATATTGCACTTCAGGATGGCGTCACCCCGCAGACACGAGCAGCAGCTGCAACGTGGGTAATGAAGCTTATGTGCAGCAGCTCTTCAAAAAAAAGGTTGATGGAGCCCCTCGTGGACGCCCTTTTTCCCGCAATATACCGAGACTACGACGAGCAAAAGCTTGACCACGCACCCCCTTCGATCCAAGCCCTCGTGAATGACCGGACTCTTCTCCGCGACAACCCGTACTTCTCTCACTCCATGTACGTGCAGGATATCGTGGCGATTAATGCAACCATCGAGACTCTTTCACGAAAAATTCAGCGCACATTTCCAGCGATCATGCAGTGGAAAAGACTTGTGGTTATACTCGCTGAATATGTGAGAAACACGATCAAACGGAGGGCTTTTTCGGCATGGCGGGAGTTAGCCAGGCGACGCCGTATAGAAGATTTGCTTCGACGCAATGTCATTATTCGTCACGAGAAAAATATACGTTCTTCGCGGCTTCAGGCGGCCTTTTTTCGATGGAAAACCGCGGTGGAGACTTCCCGCACGGAATATCTGACGGAGCGGTTGCACCAGGCGGCATTTCAGTTAGAGAGCGCCAAAAATCAGTTTCAGATGCAGTGCTTCCGATCTGACAAGTTGCAGCTCAGTCATGAGCAGGGGCAAGTCGAAATTCAGAATCTCATAGGAGAGCGTGATGAGTTGTTGAGAAGCGTGGAGGAGCTTAAAGAGACGCTTGTCCTCAGAGAGAAAGAACACCAGGATCGCATGAAGAATTGTGTTAGGGAAGTGGTGGCACTTGTGCAGCAGCAACGGTGCATACTGCGGAGGGCGATTGATGCCCGTCTGTGCGTTGAGGAGATTACGGCTGGCTGGCTTGAAGAGGCGATAAGTGAGTTTAAGTCAAAGGCAGCGGATGAGGAGGCGTTGCCGCCCGGCTACAAATTTCTTCTGAAGTGGTGTAACCAAATATATTTTAGGCAGAGGACTAAAAAGCCCCTGCGGGTTTCTAACTTTGCGGCGGACTTTGCAAACGGTGAGGCGTATCTTCTTCTCCTGCAATATGTCTTTGCGGGGGATCAGTTGGCCACAATAAAGCCCCCACCGCCGCCGATGTGGTTGTCGAAGGTTAACAAGACAGAAAGGTTGAATCGGGTGTGTCAGTTTGCCGCAACCACCCCGCTTGCCATCGCCTTGGAGCCGGTGGATCTTTCCCAGAAGCGAGAGGACAAAATTGCCGCAGCCGTCGCAGAGATATTTTTGTACCACATCAGAGAAAAGCGAGTCATGTACACAAACAGGGCTTTACAAATTGTTAGTGATGTGGCGTTGCGATGTGAACCCGGCGCTAATAATTTTGCTGCTGCGATAAACACCCCTAGTAGGACTGAATCCGCGAGTGGTAAGGATAATGCTTCTGATAGTGGCGGTGTGTTTGACGATGGTTTTGGCGGCGGCGCGAGTTTTCATGATGAGGAAACGCTGCGACGACAAGTGATGGAGTGGGGATGCGAACTGGAGCAATGGGAAGCGGAACTGCAGAGGAATGTGGTGCAGGAAAACAAGTTGCAGCACTGTGGTGTGGCCATCGCTCACGATGCCGCCCATATGATGCGGGAAAGAGGCAAAGGGCAGCCCGTGTATGTTGTAACGTCAAGCACGGGCCTTATATTTACCAGCATCAACGCAAAAAACATGGAAGACCTTCGAACGAAGTTCAAAATGCCAAATCCGCAAGGATGGAAGACGTTGGTTCGAGTGGCGCTCAAAAATGTACTCTGGAAGCACGTGCGGCTCATCGCATCCCACTTTTACCACTTCGCCGGTGTTGATGCTCGGAGGATGAGCGAGGTGCAGTTTTGGCGCTTCGTCGAGGAAACCCAAGTGGCGGCTGAGCCATTAGCTCCATTGGTGGCTATGCAAATCTTTGACGCGGTCGTTTCTCCACAAATTGCATCGATCTGGCGCGTCGCTGGGAAGGATGAAAAGCGGGAGAAGATGCTGGAAGCCGTGCAAGAGCAAATTGAAATACGCTTTCTGAAGCCCAACCAGTTTACTGAAATACTCGTGCGCTTTGCGGTGGCACGGTACAAGGGTGGCATCATTGAGGCGACGGAGAATTTTTTGTCGGAACTGCGGCTTCCTGTCATGGAGCGTATTTTGCCCGTAACGCTTCTTTTTTACGAGCCAGAGTCGCAGCGAGTCATGAGTTATTTTCAGCACGATCTGGCTCGCGTGTTCTTTTTTTATATGAATCATCAGTTGAACGAGAGTCTGAAGGGGCGGTCTCAAAAAATGCAAGGCTGCGGACGTTTCATGGCACGTCTCTCTTATACGACTTACATAAAGATGTTTGCAGACTGCGATTTTATTCTTCCGGAGCAGGATGGCGAGTCCGGCAGCGTTGGCTACCAGCGAAAGACACGTTGTATGTCTATAGACGAGGTATTGAAAATGTTAGAGGACGTGCAAAGACGCATTCCATCGATTTCTCCCGGAGAACTGTGCTTTTCACTCTTCTTGGAGACGTTTGGCGTGGCCTGCACGTACTGGTGGCCGGATCCAGCTGTGCCGCTATCACGCAAACTTGCCGCATTCCTTTCTCGTCTTGTGGAGAAGTTACGCGCGGTGTTTGCGAGTGACGTGCTGATTTTGGGCAACCCACCGTGCGTTTCTCTTGAGGGCGGCGCACATGTGGAGTTACCCTAACAGCTGACGTTTAAAAAAAAAAAGAAAAAAAAAGGGGGGGAAAGGGCCTCACTTGCCTTAGCTTCTTTTACCCATCACTTTCCGATGTAAAATGTAGAATGACTGCATGTTGTGCGCACGTGCTGAAATAAAGGGGAGCCATCGTTCTCCCGCCATCACCATTACGAATATTGCGACGATTACGATTACGGGTAGAAACATCCAGATGTATTTTTATCAGCACTTTACCCTTTTTATTAATCCTCTTTTCTTTCTCTTTTTCTCTCTGCGTGTGTGCGTCCTTATTTCACGTATCATGCATCCCAGGCACAGAACAAAAAGAGGCGATGGAGGGATCGTGTGTGCGAGTTATGCTGCGGTTCCGTTCTTTGGGGTCCTCACGAGCGCTGCCCGCAATGTTGACCCCACGGCGCACAATGATGGGTCTTTTTGAAGAGGAAGGTCCGTCAGGCTTGGGTGAAACAAATGTTGCGGCGTTTGCTTACTCAATGGACCAACTGGAAAGCCGCAGCTTGCGCCTCGATAGAAAAGCATACGGTATCCCTTTTCACATTGGTGAGGAAGAGGCGGTGGATGCCGTTTATCGCCACCATGGAACGGCCGTTCACGTCCACAGTGTCGAACGGTACCTGATGCCCTTTTGGCTTGGCAACACGGCGGCGAGTGGCAGTTTTCGCGCGGATGTTCTCCAGAAGGACCCGGCATTTTTGACGCAGCAGCACTGCCTTTTGTGGGTGGAGGGGCCGAGCTACGAGTTCCACTACCCCTTTGGCGAGCATCACGTCTTCAATCAGGTCTCCGCGTCTTATCTTCACCCGCTCTCCACTGTGGAACATTGTGTGTCAGGCACGCATGTGCCCTCCATGCTGATATCGCGCTTTGAGTTGCTCAAGGAGTTGGAGGCGATGGAAAAACCGCCAAAGGTCATTCCGTTTTCGATGTCCACCGTGACGGCGCTTTCCATTTTGGATTACCGTCTGAGCCGCAGCATGGTCCTTCGTCGTATTGACGAGGAACTGGTGAAATTTCACGGTTCCTTCGTGAGGAGTTGCGTCACCCTCACGAGTGTTTTCAAGGAGAGCGTGAGTATTCGGCCAGTATTTTTACCGATGATGAAGTTTACGGTTTCAACCGGGACAAACGCCACGCCTGTTCCATCGTTCGTGTGCGGTGCGACAGGCAAAGTAGTTGGGCCCATCTTGCACCTCAGTCAACGGGCAAAGATGAGTGCCGTAACGCTCTCAGGAGCCACTGCGTTGCTCATGTTGGCGCCTGTTGTGGGCCCCGGTATTGCCACGGCAGCCGCAATTGCCTCCGCGGTGGTATCCGTGTACGTGCGACGCTACCTGCTCACACTACGTTTTCTGAGAGATCAGGCGAGGCAAATGGCTGAACTCAAGACAACCGGCATGTTATATTTTTCTTCCGATCAGAACGGCTATCGCTGGACGCCCGAGGACGAGGAGCGTGCGGAGTACGAGTACCGCGAGGAGTTGCGGCAGCGAGCACGGAGAAAGGAGGCATTTGAGCAGCGGGTGAAGGAAGAGGCTGCGCGTGATGAGGCCCGAGGCAAGAGGCAAATTGACCCGAAGAACAGACGACGGACAGACCTGGAGGACGTCGACCCGCTTGGGTACTACCAGCTGCTGGGTCTCACTGGAAGAGAACTGAGCGCAACGGCAAAAGAAATTGCGAGGGCGTTCCGTGAGGCCGCGCGGCACCACCACCCCGATGTCGCTCATCGCAACGACGAAGATGTCAAGAACAAAATGCAAAGAATCATTCATGCCTACAAAATCCTCCGTGACCCCAAAACAAAGAAGGCGTATGATTCTGGTCAACTGAAAGCTGAAGAGGGGGAATAAGAACAGTGCGTGTGTCTTTGGTCATGTGCAGTTATTCCAATACATGGAGAATGCATCGACGCCGAAGGAAGAGATGCCCTCCTGTTTGTTTCTTCGCGGAACTTTTGTGGGGCCGTGCGACTGTTTTTGTTCTTCCTCCCTTTTCTTTATTCCTTACAAAGTCACTCCCACACATGTCGATACCACCACCACCACCTGTTGCAGCAGTGCCAGCACCACCAACAGCAGCAGTGCCAGCACCACCAACGGCAGCAGTGCCAGTACCACCAACAGCAGCAGTGCCAGCACCACCAACGGCAGCAGTGCCAGCACCACCAACAGCAGCAGTGCCAGTACCACCAACAGCAGCAGTGCCAGCACCACCAACAGCAGCAGTGCCAGCACCACCAACAGCAGCAGTGCCAGTACCACCAACAGCAGCAGTGCCAGCACCACCAACAGCAGCAGTGCCAGCACCACCAACAGCAGCAGTGCCAGTACCACCAACAGCAGCAGTGCCAGCACCACCAACAGCAGCAGTGCCAGTACCACCAACAGCGGCAGTGCCAGCACCACCAACAGCAGCAGTGCCAGCACCACCAACAGCAGCAGTGCCAGTACCACCAACAGCAGCAGTGCCAGCACCACCAACAGCAGCAGTGCCAGTACCACCAACAGCAGCAGTGCCAGCACCACCAACAGCAGCAGTGCCAGTACCACCAACAGCAGCAGTGCCAGTACCACCAACAGCAGCAGTGCCAGTACCACCAACAGCAGCAGTGCCAGCACCACCAACAGCAGCAGTGCCAGTACCACCAACAGCAGCAGTGCCAGCACCACCAACAGCAGCAGTGCCAGCACCACCAACAGCAGCAGTGCCAGTACCACCAACAGCAGCAGTGCCAGCACCACCAACAGCAGCAGTGCCAGTACCACCAACAGCGGCAGTGCCAGCACCACCAACAGCAACACCGCTTTCTGCAAGTAGTGTTCCTCCAGTGGTCTCTGTACCGTCTGGAGCCGTGCCTCAGTTATCAGTTGCGGCACCTTTCACGGGGGCATCAATAGCTTTATCCTTACCGGCGGGGATCGGTGTTCCGCCTCAACAGGCCATTCATGAGGAGGCACGACGTAGTCTCGAGGAAGCCGCAATACAGCAATTCAAAAGCGCTGCAGGTGATCATTACCTGGATTTAGACGATGTGGTAAGAGACACCATCTGCAAGTTGTTCTTTTTGAGTAACTATGATGTGGGCACAATGATGACTTCTGTCGCGAAGAGCCTGCATTGTTTGGGCCGTTACGATGTTGGTCTACTCCGTAATGACGACAGCACGGCCTTTACACTTATTCAATCTCCACCGTTCAATGAAGCTGTCGTTACAGATGAAGCCCAAAGTGTTGAGCAATGTCGACGCGCCATTCAAGAAGCCAAGATTCGAATAGAGAGGGCAGATACTCGCTCCAAGGCGAGGTTTTTTGACGCTGCCCGAGCTGGAACGAAGCCGAAAGAGCAACCAGGGCGTGTGCCTTCAACGTGCGTCCGCAAGGAAGCGAAAGCAAAACCGGCAACATTCCGCAAGACGTCGTACGAGCAAATACAGGAATTGTTACGGGCTTACCAGGCAAGTAGGGTTGGTAGAGGACGAGGTGCATCAGCGAGTCCTGGAGTTCCGCGAAATGCGTCACCAGAGAGGGACGGGTACCTCCTCTGGCGGTACGGTGGGAATTATCCCAAGGAGAATTACTACACACACTATCGTCTACACGGTCTGAAGAAGTAGTGATGGGGTGTGGCGCTTTAATTGGGTCTGCGCGATAGAAGGGCATGAATAGAGTCACAGGAGCAGCAGCCTGCCATCTTTCAGGGTAATGCCGAGTTTAGAACGCGCTCTTTTTGATGCTTTCAAAAAGGCGGATATAATTTAGCTTATTCTGTACTTTTTTTTTTTTTTCTTGTGGCTTCTTTTAGAGAGAGAGGGTCTTGTGCGTTTTCAGACAAGGCGTTGATTATATTCCTCTTTCTCCGGATGCCAGCCATTTACCCTATGCGTCAGAACTTCTTGTCGGGATGGGCGTTATTTTAGACCGCGGGTGCAAAACGAACTAGCGAGGGTTTTTGTTGTTGTTGTTTTGGAGTTCTCATGGGAAAGTCTGGCATCACGTATTTGTCCTCCCCAGGGAAGATGGAGATGAATGCGCCCTCCTCACTGCTGAGACCCATTAACAAATGACAATCTGACGTGAAGCAGTTTTTTTCTCTTGCATCCGTGGATGAGTGGCATTTGTTTTTTGTGTGTATGTGTGTATGTATACCGATTTGTCGTGTGCGCTGGCAAGTGCCCTCTTTGAAGCTGCCAGCCTTTTCCGATGAACAGTTGGGTGGGGACATGTCTTCTTTGTTTGTTCGCCTGTGTCAATGGGGGGAGAAGGAGTGGGATTGGGTGATGGAGAGGATATAAGCATGTGTGTTGTCTTTTGTCTCTTGCACAGTGTGCGTAGGTCATTGCCGTTTTTTGATAAAGTAAAAAAGGAACCCTCTTTAGGTGAAGCGCAAGCATTTAGGCATACGTACACACCAAGGATACTAAAAGAGCAAGTAAACAAAGGGCGTGGGGGACGCGGTGCGAAGATCAAAGGAGAAGCAAAAAGGGGGTATTGAGGCTAGTAGTAAATTTCTTCTTCCAACAGTGATGGTGCGACGGAGGGTCATTATCGACACAGACTGTGGAGGAGATGATGCCATTGGAATCATGACCGCCATGACGCATCCAGAAGTAGAGATTCTGGCCATTCTGGCTGTCTGGGGGAACGTGGATGTTGAGCAGGGGATGGAAAATCTCGGAAAGTTACTCGACCTGTATGGACGGGATATTCCCTTCTATCGCGGTGCCGCTGGACCACTTGTGGTGAATCGGGAAACGGTGCAGTGGGGTGGATTTGGCAGAGATGGTTTTGGTGACGCCGGATTTCCCCCATCTCCTCGTGTGGCGGCGCAATCAAAGAAACATGCCTCTTTGGCTCTTGTGGAAATTCTTAGAGATGCCAAACCAGATGAGGATGTTGTGTACCAGCTGGTGTGTCTTGGACCATTGACGAACATAGCCCTTGCGATCCGCCTAGATCCGAGCGTCTTCGAAGTGCTCGGCTCCGAAACTGAACCGGCAGTGACGGTTATGGGCGGGACAAGCGAGGGGAAGGGCAACTCGAACTTGATGGGGGAATTCAACTTCCATTGCGATCCTGAGGCGGCGTTTGTCGTATTTCATAGCACTGGAATCAAGCACCCCATACAGATGGTCAACTGGGAGGTTACTGTGAACTGTGCCATGCCGTGGCGCTTTTATGATGAGTGGGTAGGCCGGTGCGAGACGTCGGAGGGGCTCAGGCCGGTAAATCAAAACAAGACCCAATGGTTTATTGAGAAAATGTTTCAGCGCCTGGAGACCTTCACGCGGCCAGACGAGGATGGGACAAGGGCCGACACAGGCGACGCTGAGGCCACGCAGGACGTCACTTGCGTCATACCGGATGCCGTGGCGATGCTTGTTGCCTTGGACCCCACGAGCCTGGAGGACAGCTTTCTCACATACGTGACAGTAGAGTTGCAAGGACGCGAAACTCGCGGAGCGACTTGCATTGATTGGTATGGTACGGAGCAATCTATGGCGAAGAAGGGTCGTTGGCGCAATTGCAACGTCGTCACAAAAGTAAACTGTGATACGTTTCTGGAAGTCATGCAGCGGATAGTGGATTTCCCCTTGTAGACAGTGCGGTAGGAATATATCACGGAGGATGTTTGGGTGTGGCGGCGAAGAGCATGGCCACCAGCAGAAGGAAGCATACACAAATAAGAACAAGGGAGGAAAGTAGAAAATTATAAAAGAAAAAAAAAAAGAGGAATGAGGGGGAACACGAGGCTGGGAGAAGAAGAGGTAAAGGCTCAAGGGCCTTCAGGAAGTGTGAGGTGTGGTTTAGTGGGAAGAAACATCTCAATGAAAAAGAAGAAACTGCGGGAGAGTGAGAGAGAGAGACAGGCAGACAGACGAGGTTTTCATTGGCGCTGAGGAAACAAGATGGCAAGAGAAATTAAATGCCCCTCCCTTTCTCCATCCTTCCCTCTACTCCTTTAAAAAAAAAAAAAAAAAAAAAAACAGGGAGGAGAAGACCGGTGTAGTGGAGATTTATGTGGCTTTATCCGCGATGTTTACTTTATTCTGAATGTGGTTGCACGCATGTATTTAAGTTTATTCCTGCTGCTGCCCCCTCCCTCCCTCCTCCCTCCTCCCCAAATTGGTTGCAGATGGTATCTGATCGTGAAGAGGAGGCAACAAAAAAAAAAAAGGGACCACAAGCAAATACACCCCGCACACGCAGCGAGGAAAGAGGGGTGGATGGAAAGGGAGCCACAGGAAAGAAAAGAAAAAAAAAAAAGCGAAGGGTGACGGTTACAGTCTTATTCCCGTTTTTGTTGATTTTGCTGATTTATTATTATTATTCCATGCGTGCCGTGTGCTTGTGGATGTCTGATTGAAAAGCCTTCTTATTTCTTTTGTTGTTTTTTTACGGTTTGTTGTTGTTGTTGTTGTTGTTGTTTTCTGTGTGTGTGTGTGTGTATATGTGTGTGCGTATTGTTTGGTTGGTTGGTTATCTCCGTCATTGTACGTCCGTTGTTTTATATGGCGACTGTCCTTTTTTTTTTTTTTTTTTTCATGACCCCGCTTCAAATAAGCCCCTCCTTCTTTTATTCACCGCCCTTCACTTGGGGTTTTTGTTTGCTCTTTTTTGTCGTCGTTGTTTTATTATTATTATTGTCTTTTTTTGTTTTTGTTTTTGTTTGTTTTTGTTTTTGTCTCCCCTCCTGCGGTTCGCTTATAATTCCCGCGCTTATTTAATGTACATGAGCGGCACGCGGTGTGGGATGTTTGGGGGAAGAGGGGCGATTTTGGTGCCGGTGGCCCCGTGCGGCGTGCGGGAGGAGTGGGAGGGGAGAAGTGTTTGTTTTTGTTGTTGTTTTTCCATGCGACTCTGGCGGTGGACGTCTTCCTTTCGTGAAGGGCCACACATGCCTGTTTGTGTATATTCTTTTTTCTTGTTGTTGTTGTTGTTGTTGTTGTTTGTCTACGTGATCCTCCTCCTCCCCCTCCTCCCCTACATCCACGCACGCACGCACGCACGTACTGTTCGATGTTTGTTTCTCTGTATGTTTTAATTTTTTACGCTGAACGTGGAGAGAAGGAGATGGTGGAGAGAAGAAAGAAAGGCGCGGAAAACAACAACACCAATAAAAATATTTATAATATTTATAATATTTATTTATATTTATATAATAAAAAGAGGAAGAGGGTCCGTGTAAATCCTGTGCTCGCTCTCTGTATATTCCCTCTTTTTTTCTTGTTCTACCTTCCTCCGTTATTTTTTATTTTGGACCCTTCCTGGCTTTTCCGCTGCTTGAAAAAAAAAAAAAAAAAAAAATGACCAGGGGAATGTCAGTGTTCGAGGCGCGGCAGAAGGTGTATGCAACGCTGCACGGGACCTTCCACGCCGCGATCGTGCAGGAGGTGGCGGTGGATGCCGAGACGGGCCAGTACCTGTACTATGTGCACTACGTTGAGCAGGACAGCCGCATGGACTGTTGGTTGCCCGCAAGCGAGCTGAAGGAGCGGCGGCAGGGACGACAGGCGAGCAAACAGCAGACAAACAAGCCGGGCGGTGGTGGTATCACGACACGGGGTCAGAGTCGACTCGTTGCTGGGAAGGAGGACGAGGTGTCAAGAGGTCCCAACACCCCGACCTCCTCCGCCAAGCGTAGCAACCTGCAGAATTGCGTCAATATATCGACAACGCGGGCACGGAAGGACAGTTCTTTTTTCTCCCGGCCCAAAAACATCCACGCCATATGCATGGGGCCCTACGAAGTGGCTACATGGTACTTCTCCCCATATCACCTTGCTCGGCCCCAGATACAGCAGGGATTGAAGCAGAATGCGGAGCTTTTTTCAGGAAAAATGGAGTTGCAGCTACGCCAAGAAAACAAAAAGAGTGCATTTCAGACAGCCGTGGTCCCCACCTCGTTTGTGCTCCACATCTGTCCCTTTTGCCTCCACCCCTTCACGGCGCACGAGGACGTGGTGCGCCACCTGCAGATTGTTTGTCCACGGCATCCGCCAGGGAACGAGATTTACCGCGATCCCGTGCGTCAACTTGTTGTGCTGGAGATGGATGCGGTGGTTGAGCCCGTTTTTTGCGAGCACTTAGCGTTACTGTCCAAGTTATTCCTGGAACACAAGGCACTGGATCATGATATGACTCCTTTTCTCTTCTACGTGTTGTGTGCTGTGCAGCCGCATGGACTCGAGGTGCTTGGATATTTTAGCAAAGAGAAGCAGTCGCCAGAGATGTATAATCTCTCCTGCATTCTTGTTTTGCCACAGTTCCAGAGTCGCGGTATTGGGCGGTTTCTCATTGAGCTAAGCTACGAACTGTCGCGACGGGAGGGAAGGATTGGTTCCCCCGAAAAGCCGCTAAGTGACCTGGGCGAAAAACTCTACTTGGGCTACTGGGGCGACGTTATTGTCTCTGCCCTCGCTCGCGCCATAGAGGAGAATCACTGTGCCACACTTGACTATCTCGTTCAGGCCACATATCTCTCTCAGGCGGACGTCTTGCGAACGCTACAGTACCTGAGGCTGTTGAACGGCACGCAGATTGTTGTGTCGGAGGAGAGCATTGAGCGGTGCTATTCCAGGCGGTTGCATCGTGAGCGAAGTGGGAAAAATTACGTTTTCTATCCCCACTTACTGAGCTGGAGTCCGCACATGTACTACGAGCTAAAAGAACAGGATGTTGCCCCGCCTATTTACGTAACACAGAGCGAGGAACTGGAACAAAATGCCGCTAGCAAAGGACAGCGTGTTTTATAGTCCCTTTCTATGTGCGTTTGTGCGTTTGATTATTTTATTTTTTTTTTTTTTTTTTTTTTGCTGCCTTCTTATGCCCCTTCCGTTGATTTTGCGGCATGAACTGAGGCCTAACATCGGCAGCAGGCAACCAGGCAAAAAGAAAACGAAGAAAAACGAAACAAAAAAAAAAAACACATGGAGGGAGGGAGGGAGGGGGGAAGATTGAATTATGCCCGATATCTACTTGCCATCATACTTGGGACCACGTGTTTGCAGCAGATAGGCACAAACACAGACACACATGTGTGTATACGCACTGTAAATGGCAGATATATGTGTGCCCCTATTTGAATGTTTTTTTTTGTTTTTTTTTTTTCTATTAGTGAAGCGCTGTTCTTTTCCTTTCTTGTCGACTCCGCGTGTGTAGTGTGTTCGACTCATTTTGATTTTTTTTTTTTAGTAGAAAAAGAAGAAGAAGAAAAAAAGAAGATATGCGGCGCATTGCCTTTCTTTTTCCGACCCTTGGCCGTGTGTCCGCGGCCCGCGGCTGCGCCAAGATGACCAGCAACAGCAACCCCAAGCTGGATGAGTTGGCTAGTGCGTACTCGCAGCTCACACTGAAGGAGCTCTCCGAGCTGCAACGCCTAATCTTCAAGAAACTCGGCCACAGTGACGAGTTTTACGAGAAGGCCCTCCTGCGCGGTCTCGGCGGCGGTGGTGGTGGCGTCACGATGCCAGCCCACGCCGTAGCGGCAGCAGCGGCAGCGGCAGCGGCACCGGGGGCGGCTGCACAAGAAGAGGTTCCCAAGGCGGAGAAGAAAAAGGTGGAGAAGTCGACGTATGACGTAAAGCTGGCGAAGTTTACGCCGGACATTAAGGTGAAGCTCATCAAGGAGCTCCGCTCCGTCACAAGCCTTTCGATTGCGGATGCAAAGAGTGCCATTGAGAAGTGCCCTGGGCTCGTGCAGACAAACATGAGGAAGGAAGACGCGGAGAAGCTCAAAGGGCTCTTTGAGAAGCTCGGTGCCACGGTTGAACTGATTTAGCGGAAGCTGCGAGGAGAGCCGTGTGCGTGACGAGAAAAAAAAAAACGGAACTCTTTCTCCACTTCCTCTTAACGCTCTTGGTGGTGCGTGGAGGTGCCGTGGCTTCTCTTTGTTTTGTTTGGGTGGGTTGGCTACTTCCTTTTCGTTGTTTTTGTTGTTGTTGTTGTTGTTTTCTTTTCTTGAAGGGATATGTTGTTTGTCAATTTATTGTTATTATTATTATTATTATTGTTGTTGTTGTTGTTTCTTCCAACTTCTTTCTTTCTCTCTTACTTTTTTTCCCCCACTTTTTCTTTTATTGCGTGACTTTTAATTGCAGCCGAGAGAGTGGGTGGGGGAGAGGGGGGAGAAGAAGAAAAAAAACAAAGGAGGAGGAGGGGTGCGTGTGTGTCTAAATCATCCGCCGCACTTCAGGACGTGTGTGGAGGTGGCCGTTGCCCGCAGAATTATGCGTCACGGCTATGTGAGCGGCATCAGCGGTCGTCGCGTCAACCCCGACGACGGTGCCGTGGAGTACAGCGTGCAGTGGTCGGGGGAGGACGGCGTCTGCGACACGTGGGAACCCCGTTGCAACCTCCCTGCGAGTTGCGCCGGGCCGGTCAGCGAGGTTGACGCACGCGAAGAGACAGAGGCGCTGCACCGCATTGCGTCGTGGGCAAAACGAGATGGAACGTTTGAAGACGCGTCAGACGCAACTCCTCCCGCGCCCGATTTGACACCGCCGCTGCACGGCATTGTTGTGCACAGCAGCAGCAGCAGCAGCAACAACAACAACAACGGCGCCGGGGATGAGGGGAGGAGTTTGATGTCACTTGTCGCCCTCGGGGAGCGTGTCCTGGCAGATGCCACATCGCATGGACTGAACCCGACGAAAAAGAAAAGGCTGCAGGGCCAAAATGAACATGATCCCTCGTGCGGCCCTGCACTTCTTTTGGAGAAATGCTGGCGGGAACAGCACGCGGTGAGCTTCATGCATACATGTGCCATTTCAACATGTCGCACGCCAGCACCGCAGGAGTTTGAGTTGGGCACATGCAGCGATAAGTGTCGGGACGCGTCAAGCATAGAGATTTATGGCATTGCACCCGCTGCACTCGTAAGAAGCGGCCAAGTATATGACAATGCCAAAAATTGCGATCCACTTGCCGGTCATGCAGAGGCGGAAACCCTTTCTGGTCAATTTAACCTTAAAAGCATGCCCGCACATACAACACAGTCATCTGTGCGAGGAAAGCAAGAACAACTTGTCGTGCGGTACTTTATTATGGAGAACAATGGGGAAAATGATCAGACGTTGCTTACTATGCCGTTGTGTGTCTTCCGTCGATACTACCCGCAGTTGCTGTTGGACTTCCTGCTGCGTCATGCGCTCGTCATGGAGTCTTCTTAAGAAAAAAAAGAGGAAAAATAATAATGCGATTTGGTCCCTGTGGTGATGACATCTGAAAATTATGGAGCAGGCCGTTGTGTCCCTTTGCGCATTCCTGTTGATCTCTTTTGTTTTATTTCTGTTGTTGGTTTTTTTATCTCTCCTCTGTCTAATAGTCTTCTTTTTTTTTTTTTTTTTTTCTACCACCTCTTTGTTTCCATCTGTTGTGCCACAGGGCGTGCTGCGCCTCGGTGCAGCAGCGGAAACAAGAAGGGACCGGACGGATGTTTCCATTCTTCATTTGTCCCCTTTTCTTTTTTTTTTTGTTTTTCTCTCTTTCTCCTGGTGTGTGTGTGTGCTCCCTCAACCCCCCGCTGCGACGAAAAGAAAAGAAAAGAAAACAGAATTTATTTCTAGCGAGCGGACAGGTCTTCCGTATTACCCTTTCTTTTTTTTTTTTTTTTTCTTTTTGAGGCGCGTCCGTGCGATTTTGTCTCGTCCCTATCACTCCCGACGGTAATGCCACGGCTGCTCATCTTTGCTAACGGCATGCACTCAAGAGGCGATGGCTTTGTCAAATACCCGTTCTCCGGGATGTGGCAGTGCACGCTCCCTTCAGGCACTCCCGTGAAGGAGAGATGTGAACAAAAGGCCCCGTCGTCGGCTCCTGCCGCAGACGAGGCGTCGTCTGCGCTGCAACTAACGACACCGAACGGGTCACAACTTGGCGCCTGTGAAGTGGTGCGGGCGGAGTCACAAACACCGACGCAACAACAGATGGTGAAGAGGGAGGAGGCTGTTTCCCTTCACCTCCGCCCTTTGTTTTTGCCGCTGCACTTTCAGCTGATCTCTGTCAGCAGCAAGTATCTGTGCAGCATCCTCTTCGCAGCCCGTCCGCATCCATTGAGTGAAGTTCATGTCGTCCGTCTTCGGAAAATAACGTCGGGCAGAAAACTATGTGAAGTCATGGGTATTGCCTTTGCCTCCACTTCTGGGGCAACTTGGGCTGATGTGCTTTCATTTGTGCGGCGCTCGCCCGTCAGCTGCCTTTCTGCTGAGATGTCCCAGACGGTGGTGTGGCGGCTAAATTGTTTGGCCCCAGCAGGGAGCGGCGTCAACGTCGGCGCCGGATTTTTTGGGCGTGTCACGGGGCTTTTTTCACTCCACAGTCCCGTGAAGGAAGCCTTTGGCGAAGGAGAAGAAGAGACGCTGCATGTCGTGTTGGCAACGTCGAAAGAAGGGGCAGTATGCACTCCGCCGGACCGTGTTGTCTCCGGTTGCAAGGAACCACCGCCACTGCCGCCAAAGCAAACTCACAGGGAGAAACTTCCTTATGAACTGCCGCAGCGTAATTTGTCAGCGGCATTCATAGAGGCTCAAGAAGAAGAGGAGAAAGTGACCACGGCGGGAAGTAAAGAAGATACCGCCAATTTTTCCGCAGGATCTGAATGCGCGCTGGAGAAGAAGGAACCGCAGCCAACATATGCGGAGGTCCTTACTTGGGGGATTCGAAGACAAAATTCCGGCGTGAATTCCACGGAAGCATTGGTACGCGAGTGGCGGCGGCGCCTAATTGCCCTACGGAAAGAAATTTTTTCCAGCTTATGCAATGATACGGCGATAATCGCTGCGAGAAACCAAATATTGCAACTGCAAAAAGAAAAAAAGCAGGAATGCCATTTGTATTGTGCAAGGTCCATAGCCATTCTTTTGAAGGCTGGGCTGCAGGAGGTGCTGTGTGATGTCCTCTTTGACGTGGCCACTTTTTTAATGTTGGGAGGACAGAAGCAGCGCAGTGTCCATCGACTTCTGCAGGAATGTATCACCACGGCGCAGGCGACCGGTGAAGAATTGGAGAAGCGGAGAGTCGATGTGGCCGCTGCATTGCGGCTCCCATACGGCATTCTAAGGCTGCGTCTTTTGCGTCATCACTGCTGCGCTGCCCATTTAATGGGAGAGCCGGTACAGCGTGTAATGCTGGAGGAGGCGTTGCGGGTGAATAAAGGGGTGATGGCATTGCTTTTGGGCAATTGGGCCGGTGCCATTTGCCCCGAAGTGAGGAGTACCGTCGGTGGCCACGGAGATGGCGACGCTTCTGTGGAACAGCTCGTCTCTGGTGCCCTGACGGCAGCCCTGTCGCTCCTGGAGATGTCTTTCCTCGCAAAAGGTGCTACGCTCTGCGACGAAATGACGAGTGCCGCGGGTTCGCTGCTGCTGTGGTTGCGCGACACTTCTGGTGGTCGTTTTGAAATCCCCGTCGCCCTCGCCGCCCGATTGGAGGAGAGGGTCGCAGAATTCCCCAATGGGGAGTTGGATGGCATGCTGCGGTGGTGCAATTTACCTCCCGCGGTGCAAGTGAAAAAATTGTGTCGGCACGTGGAGTTCTGTTGCGGCGTTGTGCGGGCCGTGTCGTCCGGTGTCCTCTTTGATTATCAGTTTGCCCGGACAAGGGCACTTCTCAGAGGACGTGAGGCCGCATTGCCAAATGCGGCCAGTGACGTCTCCTGAGAAGGAAGAAAGGAATGGACGTGAGTGTAAATGGCAGCTTATTTTATTTCCTTTTTATTGTTTGTTTGTTTCTGTTTTTGTTATTTTACGGGCGGCATGGGGAAGACCAGAGACGATATTCAAATCGGTGGCACGTCGCTGGTTGCAAGAGAGCAACCGGCACACACGTACATATAGATAGATAGAAAGATATAAATATTGTAGATGAATTATTTTACAAGACAGAAGATAAGAAATTCTCACGAAAAAGTGAAACAGACAAATACATGCATGTGAGTAAATTCACCCCTGTTATTTTGTTTTTTTATTTACTGCTGTTGTTTCTTTTCTTTTGTTATGTTTTTGTTTTTGTTTTTTGTTTTGGTTTTGTTTTTGTTTTTGTTTTTTGGTGGTGATGGTCTCGTTTCACGCATTGTCTTTGCAGCGTACCCCTCCCGGCACGGCACTGGAGTAAATTGCGGGTGCCGCCACATATTTTTCCTTTTTTTTTTTTTTTTTTTCTCTCCTACACGTGGATCACATTGCCGGCGCGGCGGCCAGCAGCAAGCGACATTTCACTCAAGCAACAAATGACGGACGCCATTGACGTGACGACGTACGCGGACGACAGGGCCCTCGGCCAACTCGCGCCGTCGTTGGAGAAACTCGAGCCCATCCGCGGCGCGAAGGTGGCAATTGAGGGCGGCAAGGTGTATGTCCTGTACTTCTTCAACACCTTCTACCGCGGCGCCGACCCCGTCAACGAGGAGCTGACGGTCCTCTCGGAGAAGTACGGCGACAGGGTGGTTTTTGTTGCGATCAGCAACGACGCGGACAAGGAAAAGACGGAGAAGTACCTCAACAAAACCATCGTGGACGAGAACACGAAGAAGCCGCTGCGTCTTGCACCGCCGTACATTCTCTTTGATGAAAAGAAGGCAACCGGCAAGACGTACGCGGAGGCGTCCAATCTTACCGTCATGTCGTGCCCAATGGCATTCATTGTGGGGGCCGACGGCAAAATCGCGTGGCGCCAGCAGTTCCTGCAGACATTCACCATCTCGCAGTCGAACTTTGAGGCGCAGCTCAACCACGTGCTGGCGGGCGAGGCGCTTGAGAGCAACGGCCCACGACCCGTCGTGCAGGTTGAGGAGGAGGCTGTGGAGGTTGAGGAGGAGATGTCGCTCTTCTGAGCGCAGGAGGGGCTGCGGGCGTCGTCATGAACGCACACAAAGAAGAAAGAACGAAGGAAAAAAAAAAAAAAAAGGGAGAAAAAGAAGAGGGACACACACACAAATAAAAGAAAATGGAAGAAATGAGGCCGCAATGAACGCGAAGGAAAAAAAAAGGAAGGAGGAGGAGAGAAGAGAAGAAAAGAAAAGAAAAAAAATTCTTGAAAATTTTATTATTTGTGCTTGATAACTTTACTGCACACTTTTGTCATAATCGCTCCGCGCGGGCAGAAATGTACCCCAAAAGACAAACACACGAAAGGGGGGGAAAAAAAGGATGTGTTTATTCTCGCGGCAGCAGCGCGTGTGGAGTGAGGAGGGGGAGGCGCGCGGAGACGTCTCCACGCGGGGTGTATATTTTTTTCTCTCCGGGAGCATCATTTTGGGCTTCCTTTTTTTTTTCTTTTTTTTTTTTTTAATTTGTCCCCCCGCACGCACGCACGCACGCAGGCAGTGGGAGGACACAACACACAGCCGAGGAAAACACACAGAGAAGAGAAATTTTAGCGCAATCGGCGATTATGGCGAGTGGTGACGCACCGGTGGAGATTCTTCCGACCAGCGGGTTTGTGTTCAACGAGGTGGAGGAGCCGGCGGAGCTGCTCTGCCCGCCAAAGCTGCTGCCCATCAAGTCCTTCACGCTGGAACGACTAGAAAAACTCGAGAAGCGCGTGGCCGACGAGGCCAAAGCCAAGCGCGCCCAGCGGCAGCAGCAGCAGTCCGCCCCGATGTGGAACACAAATGTGGCGCCGACCAAAGAAGCAGTCGGTGACGCAATCAGCGAGTAACAGAGTGAATTGTCGTCCCTGTTACTCTTTCCATTTGTTCTGTCTAAATCCTCCTCTCTCTCTCTCTCTCTTCCCTTCCTTTTTTTTTTTTTTTGTGTGTGTGCATCGATGTACATGTATTTCCGTGTATGTTTTCACTATAAGCCCTTGTTTCTTTTTTTGTTTTTGTTTTTGTTTTTGTTTTTCTCTACGTGTACGTGTGTGCGTGTCGGTGTGCCAGCATGCATGCATCCCCTACTGTGAAGGGGAAAGGAAAAAAACAAAACGCTTTGCAAAAAATTTTATTGATTGGAGTTGGTATGCCCGAAGCTCCAACCACCTTGCTGTCCTTGCCGCAACTCGACCTTATTGCAGATCCACATGCGCGTTCCCTCTTAGAAGAAGAGCGAGGGCTGCGAGAGCGGTGCGACAAAAACCGTGAGGCGCTGCGTAAAATTCTCCGAGAGAAGAGTAGTTGTATCTCCGAGCATGCCCCAAAGGTCAATAGTTTTGTAGCGGAAATTACATCCACGATTGATGCCCTCGTTCTGAAGAAGGATAATTTGATTGCGGAGCTTGACAAGCTTAAGTCGCTGCAGTTTGAGTTGTCAAACTTACGGCGGGATCTTCGGGTGCTGGAGCACGACATCAGCACACTTGCGCAGGCTGCACGAGATGCGGAAGTCCTGCTGGAGAGCGAAATGTGTGAACTCAAACGCGTGCGTGAGGAGCGCGAGGCGCGCGTGGGTCGCATGCGCTTTGCGACGGTGGAGCAGGCGGAGAAGGAGCTGCACCGCCTCGAGCGGGAGCTGGCGAAGGCAGGTGATGAAAATTGTAACACTGCCGTGAATTTAAGCAGACGAACACAAGCAGCGCGAGCGAGGCAGGAGCGGCAGGAAATCGCTGCCTTGGATGCTCGTGTCTTGGCGCAGGATCTCCGTGTGGAGAAGTGCCGCGCAGAAATTGAGGCGAGGACGGCGGAGCGACAAGAAAAGGAGGAGGCGAAAAAGACACTGAAGGAACACCTACAAGCACTCAATGAGGACCCCGCCAAACGCGAGGTGCAGTTTGGTGCAGTACGCAGCGAGCTGGCGAAGGTTCAGCAGGAGCTTGCGGAGGCACTTCGAAGGCGAAAGGAGAAGCGCCCGGCTAGTAACGAAATGGACTCACTACAAAAGGAACATGATGCGCTGGTTGCGGAAATGCAAGCGGACGACAAATGCCTTGCCGATTTACGGAAGCAGCTGCCGTTTCGCACATTTGCATATCCCCCGGAACTGAAAATGGCGCTCGTGGGGAAAGGTGGGGCGACGCTGGCGCAGCTGCAGGTAGACTTTGGGGTTGCCGTCTGCATTGACGGGGTAGAGAATGGCTGTGGCTTTGTTTTTGGTGGCGAGGCGGATGTAAATGCGGCTATCGTAGCCATTGGGGAGATTATTGCCGCGGAAGAGGCGTGCAGCCACAAGGTGGTTTTGCGGTACGATGCCGCACTGCGGACAAATCTTATTGGCAAACGTGGGACGAATGTGCGTCGCATTGAACTGGAGAGCGGCGCCAAATTGGATGTTGAGCGGGACGCAGTGACGTTGCGGGGAACGCAGAAAGCCGTTGAGGCGGCGCGGGAATTAGTAGAAACTTTTCTCAGAGGCCAGCACCGCGCGGAGATGCCGCTTCTCGCTGATGAGATTCCCCATGTAATCGGGAAGAACGGTACTGTTATTAATCAGATGGAAAAGGAGACCGGCGTTCGCAGCCTTCGTGTGGATCGTGAAGCACAAAAGATAATTGCCATCGGCGAGCAGACACGCGTTGAGGAGGCGATGCGCCGCTACAAGGAGCTACTTGCAGATGTTCGCCAGTCACAGCCTGTAGCAGAATGCGACAAGACCACACAGGGCGATGTCGCGGGGTCTGAGAGCCGCACCGTGCAGGATGTAGAGGCCGCCACAGGGGTGTTTGGACACGTAAAGGACAGCATGATCTCTCCCAGCGGAACATCACAGTCAGCGGGGGCGGCGCGTGTGTTGCCGCACAAGGCGCAATGCACTGAGGCACGTGTGCCGATGGAGCGATCACTGATGCAACTACTGACAACCGCTCTAGTGGAGGTCAATCGTGGTCCTGGTGGTGATAACGAGGAAAAGAGGGAATTGGAGGCTGTGGCGAATGAGGAGAACCGCGAAGAAGAGCCCGTGGGAGTGAAAGGGGCGGGAGAGGCGGTGGAGAAGAAAGAAAGGCGACACGATAAAGGGACTGGGAGTAGAGCCTTGACACCACTGCAGGTGATCCAGCAGAGATCGCAGTGTAAACATGTGAAGCCGGTTCATTCGGAAGGGATCATTTGTCTTTGCGGAGAGCCGAAGCATATCCAACACGCTCGCATGATGCTGGAGGAATTTGCGCTGCAATATCGTCCCCGCGCAATTCACGTTTATGTCCCGGAGATTTTGTTTACTTGTATCACACAACCGAGCGGCAAGAAGCCGTCACTGGTGAGCGAATGGTCGAAGGGTTACTCCCCACTGCTGAGCATAGAGCTGAAACCCAAGGAGGAGGAGGTGATTGTCGGATCTTTCATTGCTGAGGAAGCGAGGGCGGTTGCCGAAACGGTACGGGAGTTCACAAAGGCGAAGGAAGAATCATTGGTGCGTCGTGTGCGCCCGTTCCCACAGAACCGCATTGGAACGCTTTTGGGGAAAGGCGGCAAGAAGCTGAGGGAGCTTGAGAAAAAAACGGGGACGCATATCGTTTTGCGGCGGGACGCTGGCGAGGTGCAGGTGTTTCACGCCGATGGCGATGAAGCTGCACTGGCGGAAGCGGTGGATCTAATTATGACGGTGGCGAAGTTATGACGTGATTCCGTTTTCAATGGGACGGATAAATTAACGAGAATAAGAAAAACATGCAAAGAAACAACAGAAACACAAGAAAGAAGAAAAGCAAAAGAAAAGTTAAAAAAAAAAAGGGTGAAAAAGTGAGTGATTCAACGAGTCACAAGTATAATCAATATTTTTTGGTGGGGGTGGGGGAGGGCAGTTCAATGTAGGGTTGAGTGGAGGCAAAAAAAAAAAAAAGGCACACCAGAGAGGTGAGAGAAAAAGAGAGGGAATGTGTGTGCATGAAGAGAAAGTCTCAGATAAACATGAGTACGCAATATATATATATATATATATCCGACCTACGAATTCGCTCTGTTGTTGTAGTTTTTATTTTGTTTGTTTGTTTTTTGTTGTTGTTGTTGTTGTTGGTGTTGCAGTTCCCATTCCACTGTGCGTGTTTGTGTGTCTGTGTCTTTGTATTGCTGTGGCCCTGCCCGTGTTTCGACCATTCCTATTCTCTCACGCGGCTCTTTGTTTCTGCGACGGGGTTAGGGTCAGGGTGGCGGGGAGGGGATAGCACAACGTGTATTAGCACAAATGTACGAGTATGACGACCAGCAGATAAAAGAGGAGGCGCTGCAGTCGAAGGCCGCGACGGTCATTCAGCGGCGCTGGAAGGAATACTGCGCACGACGTGAGGCGGAGGCGGCGGCGTTGACGACATCAGACCGAGGCAAGTTAGTCGCCGTCGCTGCTGCCGCTGCCGCCGCGGCAGCCACCGCCGGGGATGGTGCAGCCGCGGGAGGGGAAGAGGCGGGGGAGGATCCGGCTGTTTATTTGGATGAGTACGTTCGCCTGGTCGAGAAGCGCAGGAACGTCATTGGCCGGAGCCTCGCGTGCCAACGGCAGTTGGCGCGGTACTTCGCGGCGCAGCGGCAGCGGAAGGGCGAGGAGCGGCCGCAGCCGGTGTCGCCCGAGGCGGAGCAGCAGTACTGGGTAGCGGTGAGACAACTGCAAGAAGAGCGACGTGTGGTGCAGGACCGGAAGGAGGCATCGGGGACGCTTCTCTCTGAAGTGAAGGCGCGCCACCAGAGCACCATTGAGGAGGCACTTGCGCAGGAGGAGCAGTTCCGGCAGTACATCCGGCAGCTTGCGGAGGAATCCGTCTTTGTGCGCACACACCAGCGACTTACGGCGGAAGAGATTGATGCATTCCTCAAAAAGGAGACGGAACAGCGGCACGAGGTGCGAAATGCACGCATCCGCCATATTCTTCTCTGCCACGAGCTGAAGAAGCTGCAGAAAACCGCCGAGCAGCGGGACCAGCAGCAGGACGGTATGAACCTCATTGACTTTGAGCAGCTCAAGATTGAGAATACGAACCTGAACGAGAAGATTGAGGAACGTAACGAGGACCTGCTGAAGCTGCGGCGCAAAGTCACCACCACCATTCATGTACTTACACACGTGAAGGAGAAACTGGAGTTTATGAAAATTGAGAACGCCCAGCTGCGGCGGCAGGTCTCAATGACGGAGGATGAACTGAATGAGCTCCGTGACAAGTTGGCACAGACGAAGCGGCGTCGCGACCACTTCATCACCTCCAATATTAAAATGCGGGAGAGTATGCCGATGGTAGGGTCGGAAAAACTCCTCGTAGACTACGAGAAGCGCAAGGCGGCGTGCAATACGATGCGACAGAATGTGTTAGATAACGCCGCAAAGCACAAGGAACTATTGGCGGCCACCGACCGGAATCAGGTGGTGCTGAACAGACTGCAGAAATCACTGGCCAGCGGCATCCCAGCGAATGTGGGAGAAAAACCTTTTAATATGCTGGCGTCGTGAGGGAAGAACGGGAGAAAGGCGGTGAGGGCGAGTCTTGCCATCACGAAAAGAAGAGAAAATGTGTGAAGAATGGAAAAAGACAGAAACAAAAAAAAAAAAAAAGAGGAAGGAAGAGAATATGTACAGTGGTGGTATGCATATGCAAACAAACAGACAAACAAACATATATATATATATATATTTATTTTTTTTTTCTTTTAGAGAGAAATATGGATTTTCTCCCTCTCTTTCTTTATCACTCTCCCTTTTTCTGACTCTTTCTCTTTCTCTCTATCTCTCTCTCTCTCTCTGTGTGTGTGTGTGACCTTCAGCCTTTGTTTTCTCTCCGTCTTTCCTTCTTTTTGTTCTTTTGTTTTTGGGCGGTTTTCCTGTCGGCTACCAGCCCTTTTTTTTTTTTTTTTTTTTTCAAGTTTCCTGTGATTTTACTCAGAAGCATACATGCTGCTGTCTACGGCTGATCCCACCATGGGGGCCTCATCAGCCGGCAGTGAAAAAATGTTTCAGGAGCGGCAACAAGAGCAATCCACAGTCAGCCAAACGCAGTGTACTTCGCCGATGCCGGCGGACACGACGCCCCTCGCGCGTTTTGTCGTGGAAGCGGCTGTACTCGGCACCGGCCTGGTGCGTCCCATCACATTCTTTCCCATCATGATGACCATTAGATCCACCAGCTCTAGTAAGTACACGGTACCGGATGTCCCCAGAGGACCACACGAAAAACATATGGATACGGGTATACAACGTGGCCAATGGGCCGTCTCGTCATCTGCGCAAGTGGATCGTCGCTATAGCGAGCTGGTGGAGTTCCGAACACTACTTGCCTATCAGTTTCCCACCATGATTGTGCCGCCGTTACCGCCCAAGTCAAAGCTTGAAAACTTTGGCACCTTTCTAACGAATGGAAACATCCTACTCACGCAGCAGCGCACGCTTGTGCGGTTCCTTCGCGAGGTTGCCATGTCACCTGAATTGATGTACTTTTCTATGTACACCCCGAATTTCTTTCAACTACCCCGCGAGAGCTTTGAGGACTGGATCGGCATCATGCGGGCAGCTCTCGCGGAGTTCCGTCGCTGCAATTCTTCCATCGATGCGCACAGCATGCGCAAAGGTGGGCTGCTTGGTTCCGAGTCCGTCGCAGCCTTCACCGGCGGGTCTACAACAGTTGTGCGGAAACTCGTGGGGATGCTTCACTCCTGGATGGGGTCCGGCGGTGAGAGTCCAAAGGCACCACCCAAACAACAACAAAGTCAGCGGCAGTCTGTCAGCGCAGTAGTTGGCGCAGGTGTCCTCAATGCGACTGAAGATCTCAATTACTGGACAGGTCAAATGCGGTTTCTGGAAGAATATCGTGAGGCCCTGCTCGGGGCAGCGCGTCCCTACCTGACCGTCATGGAGCAGTCGCTGGAGATCGTCGTCGCCACGAAGGAAGTTGCGGAGGCGCTTGAAAAATACGCCGACGCTCTCGGTACCTCGTCTGTGAACAAAGAACTTGCGCGTGTCACTTTGGAGGCCAGCCGCTTCATTGGCGAAGGCGCCATCGCGATGGATCGGCATCAGGCCAAGAAAAAGAATGAAGTATATGAGCGGCTGCTCTTCGAGGTGTCCTACATCGACGCCGCGATGGACGCAATTGATCACGTGATTTGTCTCTGGCGTCACCGTAACGAAGTCGCCGGTGAACAGGTGGGTGCTGAATTCACTATCTACACCAGCGAAGTCAGTAACAAGCTGCGTAACTTTTATAAAAATCGGTTCCTGCGTAATTTTAAGCTCCGCATGCAGAGCATGCTGCATCGCATGACCGATGCGGAGTGCCGCTTTGCCGAGGAAGTGGAAGAGAGTATGAAAGGCACCACATTTGCCAGGAGAATACAGAACCCGAAGTACTCAGAGTACGTCCCCGGGCCATCATCGTCATCATCAACATCATAAGATTGTCGTGCCACGCGTGCAGCGACCCGTATGCGGAGTGAGGGTGGAAGGATTAAGCGAACTTGGACATCGTTATGGCGTGGGGAAAGGGGAGGGGGACGATTGCGACATTTGTAGTAGAAGTCCCTTTCTCTTTTCTTTTTTTTTTTTATATTGGTTTTGTTTTATGCGGTCGATGGGCAACGAGATGGAAACCCCGAAGGAAGTGCCGCAGCAGCAGCAGCAGCAGCAGGAGAGCAAAAGGGAAAACGGAAATGAAAAAGAAAAACTTGTCATTTGAGAAATTTTTTCAAATGCGAGCTGAAATGAAGGCTTGACGCAATGGAACGATAATCACCGAAGAGGAGGGAAGCGAACATCCACGTTGCTACGTGTGTAATGGAGGCCAATGCTGCTGCTGTTGACGCAAGGACGGTGTAGCGTTCGTTTGAAGTGTGTTTTTTTGTTTTGTTTATTATTATTATTGTTGTTTTTTCTTCCTTCTTTCTCTCTTTCTCTCTCTGTGTGTGTGTGTTGTGTTCTCATTTTCTTCTTTTGTTTTCTTTCTGGCAACGCTTTATAGTTGATTTGCATCTCTCCCCTTCCGTTTGTGTGTGGACAGTGCGGTGGGGACAGGGAGGCTTTAAAAAAAAGAAAAAGAAAAAAAAAACGATGAGCCGGAAAGAAGAACACAAAAGAAAATGGATTGGGGAGTGCTGCGAAATATCTATTCATTGGTACACGTCTGTGTGTGTGTGTTTTTAAGCGTCTGTCTGTGTCTGTGTCTGTGTGTGTGTGTGTGTGTGTTCTCTGGTATTCCTGTTGCTACTTTATTGTTATTGTGGCTGTTGTTGCTTCTTTGGTGGGGCGGAGAAAGAGCACGATGATGGGCGTGCCCTATTTTTTTTTTTTTTTTTTTTTTTTTTTTTGTAGCTGCAAGGCAGAAGAAACAAAAAAAAAAGGGTTTTTTTATGGCTGAGAGGGCCCCAGACACGGAGGCGGCGCTGCAACTCGACCCGACGAGCCGCACGTTTGACCCAAAGGCATACATTCGTCAAGCGCACGTGCACGCGACGCATGTGGACATTGAGAACACACTCCTGCAAACCGTCGGCCGTGAGGTGGACTTCACGGAGGAGGCCCTGAAGGAGTTGATACGCGATAACATTGGAACTTTTGTTGGATGCAAGGAGGCGATGGACGTGATGTACGCCAACGACACATTACTCTTCACGGGGGAGGCGATTGACCCCATCGCGGACGCCTTTCAGACAACATTAGAGGCGGGGGAAGCACTCGTGGCGCCAACAGTCGGACTCTTTGAAGAACTGCGAAGTTGCAGGCTCACGAAGGAAATGCTCGAGAAGCTCATGGTCGTCTGGAACGTTCCTGGGGTTATTTACGAGTACTGTGGCGCGCGTGTGCCACAGCGACGTTCCGATGTACAACCCAGTCAAAGGGGGCCTCATCGACGGAAGAAAGAGTCAGACGCGGGGAAGAGTGAGGATGGTAGTGATGCCCACAGCAGCAGCGGCGGCCGTGTAGAGGATAGGACTAGTAACGTGGTGAGGGAAAGAGGCGATATCACTTTCTCGGCATCAGGGGATGTTGTGATGCCGCGAAGTGTTCGCGGTGCATTAGAGGAATTTGCGGACAGTGCCGAAGCGGACGGGAATTACATCCTGAGGCCTGGCGAGGAGTTAATTTATTGGCACGGCACGCCCCTCGCACGTTGTCCGTGCAGCCCGCAACTTCCTCGAAGTGACAATGCGGCAGGGGGGCGCAGCAATTACGAGGCAGCCGTGCTGAGCCTGCGCCGTGCCATGATATACCTGGAGGAGAACTACGATCTGGAGAACGCGACAGTGCTCGGTGTTGAGGCCCGTGACGACGCGGAGGAAGAAACAGAAGGCGTCCACAGCGCATTGAAGGTGCAGAAAAAAAAACAGCAACAACAACAAGGCGGGCTAACTCTCACGTATCAATACGCCCTCTCACTTCTCCGTGCTGCGTTGTACCTCAACGAGATGATGGCGCAGGAGATACGACATGCCAGTGCGGCTGACACCGTACTAATTGAGGACACCCTCTCATCTATGATGGACTGCGCCATTGCTGCGGTGAAGCTGCGCCACTTTTGCTTCACCGCATCCAATAAGCTGCAGCTGAATGCCACAGAAGCCGCTGCTCTCTTAGGGCTGCGTCAGGAGCTGCAGGACGATAAGAGCAACAAGGAGGAGGACGAGGAAGATGTGGGGGAGTCGTCTGTCATGACGCCGACGTTTGGCTCATTCTCTGCTACAGAGTCGAACTTCAGCGCAGAGGCGGTAAAAGTGCCGCCATCGAGTTTATCAACGGAACCGAGTACCCGCGGCCACGGAAGCGAACACCAGCGCAAAGGCAATTCAAAAGGGTCTTTATTGCACCCGGTGGAGTATTATGTCCACATTACCCGAGACCAACACACACGAATGATGGAAAACACCGCGCTGAACATTAGCTGCGAGGCAAATGAATGGCAAATAAAGTTCATGCCAAGTGCGACGGCAGAGGAAAACTCCTCTGTGCGGGACAACCGCAACGAACCTCGGCGCATGTGGTTTGGCTCATTTGCAGCAACAGGTGATCTGTTTGGGAACGCAAATGACTCTTTTGTGCAGCACAACAATGCTGGATTTCATCCACTTGATTCGCTTGCATTCGCTGAAGGCAGCGTAACGGATCGTATCAAAGTTGGTGGCTTTGGCGTAGATGAGGCGAAGTCAAATGAACAGCAGCATGCAGATGCAATCCTCGAGGCGTTTCGTACCCCTGAGGGTAATTTTTCGCGCTTCACGACGTTTAGCATCGGTCAGGTGGAGATGAGTGGTGTGCTAGAGTGCTCTGCCCAACAAATTGCGATGTGCAGCGCGAGTTTGCTGCACCAAATTATGAATTGTGCCGATATTCCGATAGACATTTCAGCAAATGCAGCCGCCGTGGACACTTTTTTTGGTCGTCTCTTCGCGGCCTGTATGAACCATCTGGAGCTGGTGGTGGTGTCATACTGGGGCGGTATTGCGGCCGCAGTGCACGCTGGCATGTTTGACTTCTCATTGGACCCCAGAAGTGCGTTGTACCGAATGATTCATGGACCGGCTGTGTTAGGCTCAAATGATGAGGGGGAAGCGGCATCGGCGACAGCAGCAAAGCAATCAGATGCCTCGGTGAATCGAAATAGGCATGCGGACGACTTACCGCACCTCACGTACATTCCGATCGTACGGGAGGGGTCTCCGACGCTGCGGCAGTTGTCGGTGGCGTTGGTACGACGGGGTGTGAAGGCCGCAGGGGAAATCCTCTATGCCTTATTTCTTAGCAGCGTTAACCGCACCTTGTTGAGAGGTTTTGTGCGTGTCATGGCGGCGTACCGTGTGTCCGATGCCATGGCCAAGAATCGAGAGGACGAGGAGGAGCACATTGAGCTTCACGCCGCCATACTTGTGGAAGTCATTCTCGCGCAGTGGGAGAAGGCCATGACGCATGTGAGTGACTCCGTGTGGCGTATGAAAATTGTGATTGGGGAGAGTTGCACATCCGTAACTGTGGCGAGTGAGGAACAAGCGCATGAAGTGGGTGGGTTGCTGGAGGATCTGGAGCAGCTGCGCTCCAGTGTCTTTCGCTGCTACACGCACGGCGTCGGTATGCTTGCAAAGGCCTACGTGACGCTGCTACCATCACTGCGGCAGACAAAACCAAAATTGAATGTTAACAAAACTGTCTCCGCACGCTTGAGTCGCGAATTTGTTTCGTCGGTGCTGGTGAACAAGTTGCTGAATCTTCTTTCTGTTGTGATTGATCGCACCGCACCCTTCTTGCAGCGCTTCGATGAGGTATACGAAGGTATTGACCTCTTTGCCGCGAAGGCAGAACGTGATACAGAGGATGACGCCAACCAACAGCACGGCCACAGTACACGCGTGTTGCGGCGAAAAAATAAAGAGGACTTGGAGGCTTCAGCGCAGCTTGACACTGTCACCGCCTTCATGGCGCATCGCAACAGCAAAATGGTGCTAGAACACGTTGAGGAGCAGGAGGAGGTGTTGTTGGCGTTGGTCACGAACATCATGCTTCTTTTTGTTGACGCACTGCACCAGAGTTGCCAACGAACGTCACTTAGCACCAGTGCCGCCCCCGAAACACGGGAGGTTGTTCATATTGATAGCCTTGCGGATGCGTTGTGCCTCCCAACGGCTGTGGTGCCCATTGTTATTGGGGAACTGGTTTCGCCGTGTATTTTGCAGGTGGTGGCCTCTCTCAAGCCGGATGCAAAGACATCACAAGAGGTGGAAGCACTGCTAAGTCGCAAGGAGGAGCACTTCCGAGTTGACTTTATTTCGCAAGTGGAAGACCATTGCCAACTGGTTGTTGATGCAATGCTCAGTATGCTTCTTGTCACTCCGCAGCAACGCATTACACGGGAAGTACGTGCACCAGGCTTTATGATGCCAATGATGGACTGGCAGCGCGTGTCGGTACATACGGCCGGTGCCGTGCGGCCTTACATTGCTGACAGCATTCTGCTCATTGTTCAGGCCCACGAAGAGCTGCAGTATCTACGGCAGCCATTGTTGGCGGCGGCGGTGACACAGCGGCTTGTGGCGCACTTCGCCTTGACATTCGTGACGGCATTAACAAGCGATGGAAACGCCTTTGAGGTGTCACTCGACTGCAGCGCCAATTTTCTCACGCATGGTATTTTGTTGATGGAGGCGGAGGCACGCACCATCCTTGGCGTTGCCGACACTCTTGCTGACAGTGTTGTTAGGAGCTCAGGGGTTAGCGCCGTGATAGCGGAGCTGAATGTGGCGCGTGAGTTGCTGCGCGGCACTGTGACGGCGCTGCAGCGTCAAGGCAACACCGTGTGCGAGGCCCTTGCGGCACGCAAGACACAATTCCAGGACAATGACAGTCACGGTGGCGGTATTAGTGGGGCTGGAGGTGGCGGCGAGACCATGACAGTTCAGCAGCGCGAGGCACGGTGCGAGGAGATGGTACAAAGTGCCATGCGACGTCTGCGTTCTGTCGTTCAGGCCATCGTCACGCACGTGGACGACGCCAAGATCACCGCAGCATTCAAGCCTGTTGTTGGCAGCGTCACGGAGAATGTCGCGGAGCGGCTGGCGAAGAGGAGGGAAGGCCACCGCGTGGCGCACGCAGGTCGATCGCAGGCAGAGGAGAAAAAAGTGAAGGTTGTGAACCCGGTGAAAGATGCGACGGCTGAGGCGGGGATCGATAGAGAAAAGGGGGAGACGACGACGGCGGCGGCGGCTCCGGCACGCCCACGGCAGCTCACGAGAAGGAAAACAAGGCAGGTGACAATAAAAGATAAAGTGGAAAGCGATGTCCCCATGACACCGCGAGGGGTGGAACATGCGTCAGTCTTGCAGCGCGCGGCTGAGCAGGAGGAGAGATGCCTCATTGCGCTGACCGAAATGCGCAGCAGCAAGGGCTTGGAGCTAAAGGACGCAGCGGATGATTCCCAGCCACGCGTGGACGCCGGTGCGATGGAGCGGTCCGTGCGAAGAAGACGAGTCACGGGGGACGAAAAGGCGATAGAACCCTCTGCGACAGCAGTTCGAGGCAGCAGAGGATCTCACGGGAAGCGCTTCAAGCGGACTCTTGCGCTGTGACACCAACGGCGCAAGCCGCCCCCATCCCTTTAAATACGTGATGCTACTTATTGTTGTCGGCGATGTACGGATTTATCTGTGTCTGCGTGCAACGCATGGCTCTGCATTGCTGTTTTTTTTGGTTGTTTTTTTTTCTGTGTGTGTGTGTGTTGTGTTTTGGAAAAGGTATATCTCTTGTCACTGCTTTTGTGCGCCCGTCTTTTTTGGGGATTTTCGTCTCACCGTCCCCACCGACTTAAACGCCCCTGCTGTTCTCTCTCCTTTTTTTTTTTTTTCTTTTTTTTTTTTTTTTTTTTTTGGTGGGTGGGTGGGGGTTTTATAGCATATCCCAAGCGTTGTGAAAGCTCCCGAGAAAGGAGGTGTTTGAATAAACAAACAGAAAAAAAAAAGCATTCTATTTGACGGCCGTCATGTCGAGTTGCATCTTCTGCAAGATTGTAGAGGGTTCCATCCCGTGCCACAGGGTGGCGGAGACGACAAGGGTGTTGGCCTTCGTGGACATCAACCCCCTCTCCCGCGGCCACCTGCTGATTGTTCCAAAGACCCACGCAGAGTTTCTTCACCAAGTGGAGCCGGAGACGGCGGCTGACTTGGGGGTGATGATGGCAAAGATAGCCCGTGTCGTGGCTGGGGAGGGAGAACCAAAGACGCAGTACAACGTGCTGCAGAACAACGGCAAACTTGCCCACCAGGAGGTGCCGCATGTGCACTTTCACATCATCCCGAAGCGCAACAAGGATGAAGGCCTCGCTATGGGCTGGAAGACATTGCCGACGGACCACGCCGCCTTTGCGGAGGATGCAGCGAAGTACAAAAAGGCTCTGGAGAATATGTGAGATGAAAAAAAAAAGAGAAAATCAATTTGTGAGCGATTTTATTATTATTATTATTGTATGTGTGTGTGTGTGTGTTTGTGGCCCAGCAATTTATTTTGACTGCTGGTGGGGTGCAACGGGTATCGTGCGGCAGCACTCATGGAATGGGGGGTGGAGCTGTGGTGTGTCTCCGCTGCTGCCACGGAGTGGGAAGTGGGGAGGAAGAAAATAAAAACAAAACAACTCTGTAAACTGTCTTATGCGTGTATTTGTGTGTCTGTGCGGGTACGTCGGCTGCTGTTGGCCGCTGGTGTGTACATGTCTTCTTGTTGTTGTTTTCTGGCCTGCAGGACGCGGCTCTGCAACAACAAAAAAAAAAAAAAAAAACATTCACACACTGACGCCCTCGCAGGCGAGCAACAGCAGGAGCACAAAAATTTAAACAAAAAGAAAAATAATAATAATAACAATATTAAAGGGAAAAAAAAAAAAAAAGAAGAAAGGGGGTGAAGAAAAGAAATTTTTGCACAAATAAGTCAGAGGGATGCAGAACGCGAAGGGGAAAAACCACGTCAGTGGTGGTGTGAAGCTTACCAAGCAGGACGATATACTGTTGGATGAGCGCATTAATGCCAATACACTGGTGTACTCAAAAAAGTCCTTAGTGGCGGTCGCCCTCATAGCGGCGTTCCAGCCCGTGTACTTGTCGCACGCAGTGAACGGGCTGGACTGGTTTTCGCCCGCCAACACTTTCCTCTACATTGCCGTGATGATCTTCACTGTGTGCATGCTGACGCAGGCGTACATTACGATGGTGGAGAGTGAGTTCTGGCGCCGCCAGCGTCACTACCACGAGGTGCGGGAGTGCGACGAGAAGCTGCTGCACAAACTGCGGCTGCAGGTGGCGGTGGGGTACACGCTTTTTTTCATCAACAGCGTCTTCTCTGTCTTTTGCACGGGATTACACATGTATATCTTCCGTCACTCGGACCCACGCGCCAGCTTCATATTGTCGCCAACGCTGACCGCGGCGCTGCTGTGGCTGGTCGCGCAGAAGAACGAGGAGAGCCGCCGCCGTCTCATGGCACAACACAAGTGAGACAGTGAAACACAAGGGAGTGATGCAAAGACAAGGATGTAAACCGCAATGCGTCCAAATACGAATGTATACACATGGCACCCACACACACACACAAACACATGCGCAGACTCCACGCATTTGGCAAAAGGAATAAAATGCACACAAGACACGGAAGAAAAGGACCCGATGCAAAAACGAAGAGTGAGGCGTCTTAGGATGAAAAAGTGCACAGTGAGGCGCGAAAAGAGGCATGTAGGTAAGAAAGGAAATTAAGAAGGGTTAAAATGGAAAGAGAAGAAAGCTGCAAGGGAGAAAGAAAGGCAAAAAGACAGGGAGCAGGGAGAATGTGAGTGAAGCGGAAGCGAATGAACGAATAAACCGGGACGATGAGGAAGAAGAGAGTGTTTTGTACTCTGTGTGCGCCACTGCCACCTGTCAGAAGGCCCGTTGCAGCCGTTTGGGTCTGTATGTGCGTGTGTGTGCGTGCGTGTGTGTGTGTGGGGGAGCGCGCTTTCCTTATATTTTGCTTTGCAGCTGCACGCGGGCAGTGCAGGCTGGAATGACGAGGAGGAGGAGAACAGGGGGGGGGGGAAAAGTCGCAGAGAAGAGGGGAAAAGAGATGAGATAAGACAAAGACACCAAGAGGCAGAGGGGCTGAGGGAAAAGAGAGAGTTTGTGTGTGAAGATGAATTTCTTATTTATGTTTTTGTTTGTTTGTTTTTTGATCCATGTGCGGCATGGCGGTGGCGCCATGTTTAAATGTCTCCGAAATTTCTGTAAATTTGTGTGCGTTTCCCTCAGGCATTCTGCCTCTCTTTCTCTTTCTCTTCTTTCTTTAATATTCGTCGCCGTTATTTTTGCCGCTGCCGCTGCCACCTTGTCGTGTGGATGGCTGCAGCCACGTGCCATTTTATTTTCACTGTACTCATACTTTTCTTTGATTTTACTGTTGCTTGTTGTTGTTTTTCTTATCTTCTCATGCAATCCCGTGCATTGCGGGTCACTGCGCCCTGGCCTACAGGTCTCACCGCACAACCCCGAAGCAAGAAGAAAAACAGGAGAAGTTGGGCTGAAGAAAGGAAGGGAGGTTCCCGGAGATAAATATAAACACGTATATATATATATATATATATATATATATATATATATAGAGAGAGAGAGAAGGGAGTATTCTGCGGTGACTCTTTATGACTATTCAGCACTTTGCGTACAGCACTTCTCCCAACAGGGATCATGGCGTTCTTGCCGCCTCTACGTTTGCTCCGTTAACACTCCGAGGATGTGTCGTGGAGGCAGAGGTGCGTGGCAATTGCGCGCGGGTGAATCTACGCTATGAATACGAAAACAAGACGGGTATGGACCAGCGCGTTATTGCCGCCTACCCACTGCCTATTGCGTGGGACCTTATGAGCTGCAGGGCCGACTACTTTGGCGACTGTGTGCTGACGGAGTACAGCGGTACTGTGCCGCTGCGTTCTTCCGCCGATGCAGGCGCCGCCGGACTGCCGGGGCCGAAGTCCGACCACAGTGTGTGGACAGTCGCCTCGCAGCAGTTGCCGTGGGTTATTGATGTTGGCTCCACCGTTCTAATCGCCGCGACGTATCACGTGCCACTTGACGTGACGCGTTGGCGTGGTGTGGTGCGTATTCATCTACCAGCAGAGTTGTTCCCGGACTTCAAGAAGCCGTCACAACCCACCCTCGACTACGCCTCGCTGTTTGACATGAAGCTGCAGCCAAAACTCCCAAGTGGGTGGAAAATTCAAGCAAAATGTGACATGTTTGTGCCACTTGCAGGCGCTGTGCGGTTGCGACCGGTGGAAGAGGAAACGCTGGTGCGGGTGGATTACATTGGCGACAGCGGCTTCTCACTAAAATATACCGCTCCATTGACAAAACGGCTGCCGGATGGGTTTGAAATTGAGTGTGTTGTGCAGGGGACGGCAGAGCCGCTGCGCTTCTTCCTCGCGAAGGACGTTGGAACGCTGGTCCAGGATGTGGATCGCCATGCATTTACTATTTCCTTCACGCCACAGCTTGAAGGGCGGCCTGGTTGCATAACAAACGCCGAGTTGGTGCTGGTAGTGGACTCGCACAGTCGTCAATCTTGTGAGGCGATGGCGAATGGTATTTTGGTCGGAATGCGTGGTTTACCGGAGTCTGTGTTTTTAAATGTGGTGGTGGTGGGCGCGAAGAAGGATGTTTCTCCCTGGCAGTGCGGTGCTGTGGCCCTGTGTGATGTGCAGCTTGAGCAAGTCTTCGCCTTCATAGCGGAGTCGAAGCCGCAGGAGGCTAACTCGGGCGCGTCGAATTTGCACCGTACACTCCGTGAGGTGATGTCGCAGGAGGCGCTTTCGCTCTGCGGTTCTGTTCCGACGGGGTATGTGCGTCATGTTATCGTGATGTCTGACGAGGGTGACATGCGGTACGCGACGGAAATCATCGAGGCGGTGACACGTCACCGGCGTAATATGTGCTTCAGTGCCATCGGTTTACTCTCATCGGGGACGCTGGATGCACCGAAGTTGCAGCTACTTGCAGAAGAAGGCGGGGGCCTTTACCGTGATGTGTCCGATGCAAAGACGTTTCCGGAGATTTTAGTGGATATGTTGTCACATTTGGCAGTCCCGACATTGACGGACATCGTGCTTTGCTTCGATGAGCCCGAAGTACGTCTTTCGATGGAACAAACGATGCCTGCAGTGGCGCAGGGGACGCAGCGCTTCGTGCACGGTCTCGCCCCCGCCTCGCTGGAGACGCTTGGCGCCTACGCGACGGGACGCATCGGCCAGACCGTCGTTGAGTACGTCGGGAAGGGGAACGTGCAGGATCTCATCTTCACCTCGGAGGCGGAGCCGCGGAACGCTCTCTCCGTCGGCCTCTTCCACCTCGCGGCAGCCTCCGCCAGAGTGCGCTACCTCATCGACGCACGCGCGTTGTCGGCGCTGTCGGTAGCGGAGATGGAGGAGGTTGCACGGCTATCCAAGACGTTTTCTTTGCCGTCGCCGTACACAGAAATGCTGCAGCGGCGACCCACTACTGCCGCCAACGCGCAAACGCGGGAGGTTCGCAACGTGGTAGCGGTGCGGTATGTGCCACGCAGCTGGACCTACGCGCGGATCATTACGCGGTACCGAAAACGGCGACTTGCGGAGGGCCTTATCGACGGCCGCCCGAAGGTGCAACAGGGAATGACACAACAACCCGAGCAAGAGGAAAAACAGCCGGGGTTGTTCAAGACTTCTGGTACTCTCGCCGCACTCGTGCCGCCGCCAACGTGTAGAGAATTTATTCGTGCCATTGTTGTGGATGTGGCGGAGTCCGTCATTGCCGAGCCGAGTCTGAAGCGTCTCACTGCGCTGCAAACCGCCGATGGCTCCTTTCCGCTGAACTCCATCCTTGGCATCAGCGTCGGTGTGTCCCTGGACCGCCTGGAGCGCGAGTTTCCGCTGACGGGCTTTGGCATAAGCGAGGACCTCACGGCTGGCAGGGAGTACTTGAGGAACCACGAGCGCTTTTGGGCCACCGCCATTGCGGTTGCGGCGATGGAGCTGCAGTCCTTCGCCACCACCGCCATGGCGTACAGAAGGGCGCTGACGTACATGAAGACACATGACTCCGAGGGGAAGTTGCTGCGTCGCGCGCGGGAAATCATTGGGAGATCGCCTCAGGAATCATCAACGTGATGTAGAGGAGAGAGAGGAGGTGAAATTTGTATAAAGAAAGAGAGAGAAAAAAAAAAAAATAATAGAAACCGAAAAGCAGACGCGGAGAATTATTCACGCAAAGTGAATGAAACAGAACGAAGAGAAAATATTTTTTTTTTTCTTTTAGTCTGTGTGTCTGTGTGTATATCTATTGGATTGACATTTATTTCACGCTGTGTTGTTCTTCTCAATTCCGCCACTGAACTCCCTCATTGCAATTTCAATTTATTGAATTGGGTGTTCCTATGACGCGGTGGGGATTTTTATTTCTCAGGACACGTGAATTTTTATTGTCGTTGTTGACGCTGCTACTTTTGCTCTTGGCCGGTGATGTTCCCAGTGCGATGTGGGGAAAGCAAGGCGAAGGGGGCAGCGAGTTTGCAGTGGATCATGTACAGCTGTTGTTTTATAAACCTCCGTTTCTGTAAAAAGTAATGTACACAAAGACACCGAAAGGGATCAATGAAATGAGAATGGATACATGGCCACATGAGGGTACATCCATATATGTATGAGGCTACTGTGGGGAAACACCTTCTATGTTACTATCATAATAATTATTTATTTTTTTTTGCTCCTTTTTTCTTTTTCCTTTGTCTGTGTAAATGTGTGCGGATTCTTTCTAAGAAAGGCTAAATGAATTAGTCCAATAATTGCATGAAACATTATCACATAAATCTATCATCACTGCTGCGCTTTGCAGGCGAATGCGACGCGAGAAAAATATGATGCCGTTGCCACACGAGTGTGGGCTCTGGGACAACCAGTAGATCATGTGTTCCGTCCATTTATTGCTGGTGTTTTTGTTTGTTTGTTTGTGTGTGTGTGTGTGCTCCCTGGCCGTTGTCATCAAGTCGAGGTCTGTTGTGGATAAATTAGCGCACAGAGGCGATGTCACCGTTCCCGTTTTGTACACCTGTGTCTTGGACGGCGACGACGACGACAACGGTGAGGGTGGTTTTTGATGGGGCCCTGGAAGAACGATGCACCCATGACGTCCTTTGGTGCTTTTCTCTTTGTGTGTTTTTTTGCTTCCTCTCTTTCCCCATCCACACGTGGGCATTACTTTCCCCTTTGACGATTTCTTTAGGCATGTTTTTGTTTTGAATTTGAGGGAGATGTCGAGGAATGTGCGGTGTCCCACCAATGGCTTTCGAGGCGGGTGCTCCTTTGGATGCCTGAAGCTGCTCAGCTGTTCAATAATTTTTTTATGGATGCTCTGGTGCTTCCTTTCCTTCCTGTTTGTCAGCGATGGAGAAAACATGGAGCCGCCCTCGACGCCGAGCACCGCCTTTAACGCCGCACGGGAAAACAATTTTAGCGGACGTCGGTCGTGGGAAGCTCCACACGGCAGCGCTTCAATTGTTGGGCCTTCTGCTGCCGTTGGGCCGAAGACGGTGTCGGCGTGTCAGTCATCTGTTTGCCGGTTCTGTGATGAGATGAGGCCGAATAACACGGCCAGTCTTCTTCACCCATGGGTGCTGGATTATATCCGCCGCCATGTCCTCATTGGAGTTATCACCGGGTCCTTTGAGAAGTTTTTCCGTGTTGACTTGGCTCTCTGCACGTGGCTAGGGCACGTCCCAGCGGCGAATCTCTTTATTTATACAGATGCCGCAAACACGTCTGATGGGCGGCACGGCACGTGGATCGAGACGGACAACGCCCTGGCATCACGGCAACTGCCCAGGGAAATGCTCCGGTGTACGGGGTACTCGGTGGGTTGGATGCGGGCACAGTACCGCTTTTTTCACGCCTTTAATCACTTTTCAAAGCTTACTGGCGTCATAAACGATGCTAGCGAGGGTGTTGGGAATTACTGCGATGTTCGGTGGGCCGTTGTCATGGATGACGACTCTTTTCTTGATCTCCATGCGCTCGTCCGATTTCTGCATCGACGTGATCTGTACAACGTGGCCCGCACCGTGTCAGCCGCAAAAGGTGCAAAGCCTCTGCTGCTCCAGGAGAGATGCAAACAACGTGTCGGCGCCCGGGCGGAAGAATTAGCCGCATGCCTTTCTCTGCCGGAAAGATGGAATCTCCTGCAAGAGCAACAACGCCTCCATGGAGATAAATTGCTTGGTCGCAGAGGCGAGGCGCTGGTGGTTGGCAGTGTGCTTTGGAACGTTACGACAGAAACACTTTTTAATCCCACGATTGTCGCTGCTCTTGGCCCACTGTACATTGGAGATCGTGGGTGGGGCGGCGCAGGGCACTTTATGAACCTTGCTGCCTTGCGAAAATATGCTCAAGATAGCGAGGGGAAGTGCGTGCAGCAGCACCTGATAGGCAAGCGACTGGCAAGTGATACCGCGCTGCACCGCTGTTTACCACAGCTAGGCATCCACCGCAGTAGTGACGCCGTTTTGTCGCACTGCCAGGCCCGATTTTTGCAGCACCGTTTGTTATCTGGTGATTTGGTCAGTATGCATGCAAAGCGAGATGTCGTGCCGCCCAAGTACCTCGCAATGTGGCGGATACGACTGTACTACCAGGTACTTTATCACCGTAATCGCACAGCCTATGACCTGTTGATGCGTGTGGGGGCCTGTGCGTATGGCTACACGTGCAAAGTCAAGAACTGTGGGGCGGGAGAGGACGAGAAAGCCGTGAGCGAATTTCTCCGTCTGAGTGAAAACGACACCCACATGCCTTTTTTTTAGAAGCAGTTGCTCTTTCTACTCCCGCGGCCATCATCGCAAGCGATGGGAGGGATGTTGTCATGTTTCGTGAGCGGAGGGGAGGAGAGGAAGAGGAGGCCTGTGTGTCTTGTTTCCCTCGTCACCGTCACACAAACAGAAATGCCCTTTTCTTGTTGTTGTTTTTCTTTTGTTTTTGGAGGCTTTGCGGTGGTGGTGGTGGTGGGGGAAAGTAGTGATGATGCCGGCGTATTTGAATACCCGCCCCCTCCGGTGTCTTTTGCCGGCCGTGCGTGAGTGAATGCGTCACGTCCCTGACGTCTCCTTCTTCCTTTTTTTCTTCGTTTTTGCCTTCCATTGGTGTGCTGCCTGCTGCCGCCCATTACTCTCTCCCTCGCCTTTTGTTGTGTGGTGGCGCCGCGGAAGCATAACACCGAAGGGAAAAGGAGAGAGAAGGAGAGGGATTGCGTGTCTGCCTGCGTAATTGTGTGTGTGTGCCTTTTGTCTGCTGCAGCACGGCCCACCCGCCCAAACACACAAAGAAGGGCTTTAAGCGAACAACAGCAAAAAAAAAAAAAAAAGAAAGCACATAAAAAAGAGGAATTAAACACGAATTGAAAACAAACAGAAAAAAAAACACGGGAAACAAAAATCAAGAAAAGAAAGCGGCTCAGGAAGAGGTTTGGAGGAGAAAAAAAAAAAGAAAAACGAGCAACAAAGAAAGGGGAAAGACAGGGTGCCGGCGGGAGGGGAGGAAATTGCTTCACACGTCTTCACCGCTTGTGTTTACGCGTCACCACCGCGCGGTGATTCCTCTGCCGTGACGTCGCCAACGGTTTCTCTTTCTTTTTTGTGTGTGTCTTGTGTTTGGCCACCGTCTGTATTCCTGCAGGGATGCCAGAAGTGGGATTAGACCGGGCGTTTCTGCACCGATGTTGCGTGCAGGTGTCATCTGCCTTGGCGGATGATGCCGCAGTGGCGGCGGAGATCCAACACACCCTGCGCTTTGTACGCGATCATGCCTGCAAATACCCCGGGGAAATCACACGAGCGTTAATATGGCGTGTAGTAGACACCGACAACAACGAGGTGCAAGACCGACTAGGTGCATGGTCGGTGCTCAACGCTGTCCTTGCCGAGTGTGCCGACATTAAGCAGCCGCTCTCCTCCACTGCAATAGCGGAAAAGATTAGCCTCTTCTTGCCATATCTCATTACGTACCGGTGGTACTCCATCCATAGCGTGTCGTCGATGAATAGGGCGCGTTCACTGTCGGCAGTTGCGCTCCTAAGTGAGTACGACAAGGTGGTGCCTGCATCCGTGCTTACTGGCGACGATTCGCGCCTTGGCGATGCGCATAAGGAGGGAGAGATTCGAGCCAAATACCGTGAGTTTCTAACCACTTGGAAGGCGGTATGGCGTCATGATGTCTATCAGCGCTTTAAGGAAGCCGTGCGTCGGACGGAAGGCAGTGGGAACAGTCTTTCATCAAAGGAGCGGCCATATCTAGATATTCCCGCTACATTCCGGGACAGTTTGCGTCGTTTGCGTCGTCGCAACCCTCGGCCATCTATAGCCTTCCATGTACTTAGTTGCTATGGGTGGGTGCCGCCCACAGAAGCTGAAGCGGCACCAACTGAACCCATGAGAGGGCTGAATGGAACCAATGAGGGTCAAATTAGCAGCAACAATGACTACGCCAAACGTTGCCCGGCGGTGCCAAAAAGCATAACGGAGATTGAAAAACTTGACCCTGCCGCCCACCCGCGTGTACGTCAATGGTTGCGAAAATTAGTTGAGGAAGGTGGTGGATGTCGTCTATGCGATGTCTGGAACCACACGGAGGCACGATGTCCTTGTGAACTGCCGTTTATCAAAGTTCCTCCGCCAGAGGGTAGTTTGCATCTTCAATACCGGCGTCGACGGACTGAGCGGACGAATATGTCGTACCTGGAGGCTGTGGAGAAGCTCTTCCGCTACGGTATCCGGTTACCGCTATCTGTAGAGAAAACGTTGGATCGCATTGTCTCACTTATAAAGGACGAGGCGTCATACGAGGAGTTGCTTGAGGCATTTGACACCGTGCGGGGTGCAATTACTGGCCCGCTTGAGCGCCATGCTTTGTGGCTGCATGCAAGTTACATGTTGATGCCATCGCGGACAGTCTTTGACAAACCGAGCGACGATGCGCTTAGTCCCGCCATGGAGAAGGCGGAGAAACATTTTAAAGTGCATCGCCGTTTTCGTGAGTGGGATCAACTGCTGCAGAGTGTAGAAGTGCTTGATAGCCAATACCGCCGCGCTGAATTGTCACCCGCGTTGCGCCGGAATATTGAGGAAGTGCGTGAAACAAAGTCCTTCTTTTTTTGTCTTATTGATGGCTCTCAATCTGCGGAGTACGTTCCTCAATCCTACGCCCGTGTGCCGGAGGAGGTGCTGCAGCTTCGGCCGGTGAAGGACGTTTTGTGTACTGTTTGCCTCGAACCGTTTCACGTGGCGGCGCGGTGTTCAAAAGGAACCGAACCATGGGACTTGTCTGTTGCACGTGTCCTGCTGGAGGAGCACAACCTCCTTAACATGAAGTTTCCGGAGGAGCGCCACATGTTCGATAAAGTCCTCCGCACTATTGACGAGGATGACCGCAAGGCGAAGGAGTTTCGAAAGAAGGAGCTCTGCTTAGCCGTCAAGCTCGTGCATGAGGGTCGCGTGCCGTACTGCAGGCTCTGCAACATCATGGGCCACGGTATTCGCCGCTGTGAGGAGGCCGCACGCCGCACACTGCACCGGCACAAAATTAAGGATGTGGACATGCGACTCAACCCACACCTTGTGCAGAGAAAAATCAAGCAGCTCCGAGACGCAAATGATGAGCGGGAGGAAAGGTGGCTCACAGAGGCATGGGAATTGCTGGGCAAAGGCCGGACGTATCCTGACAGCTTCCTCAGTGCCATCCGTGAGCTTGAGGACGCTCGCATTCCGCTTGCGGCGGCACGCTACAGCACGGACGCGGTTCAGGGGTTTCTTCTTTTTATTAAATCCAATGATCTTCTGCAGCACCTGCAACCGCTGCGGGATGAGCGGTTTCCGGAAGTGTGTCTCTTCTGTGATTCCTACCATCATGGCTCTGAACTATGCGACCGCGCCAACGCGGAGGAGCGAGGTTTCCTGACCGAACTGCGGCGCTACGGTCTGACGCTGTGGCAGTACCTCCGGGCCCCAGAGCGCTATGACGAGCGCTTTCCGACAGACTATCCAAAGGGTCGTGAGACGGTTCTCGGGCTTGCGCGTCAGTTCGAGGAGGACTACAGTCCCGGTGGCATTGCACGTGTGCGGTTTGTTGAGAACAACGGCCTTGATGGCGACGTGACAAGCCCGGTGGCGGCTGGCGGAATGTTGTCGTGTGGCAGCTCACAGCGTTCTTTTTACGGCGGCTCCTCGTACGGCATCCCTTTTTCGCAGCTCGTTCTGCGTCCCGGTGAAAATTATGGCAACAACAACGACAACAATAAAAACACCAAAGAGGCTGCCGCGGCCGCGATGAGTGTGCATGACAGCAGCAGCAGCACAAATGGCATCACCATGAGGAGCTCCTTCGGCTGGCCTACCGGCGGGGAGACGCCGACGGAGATGGCAAAGGATCCAACAGCCACCGTGGAGCCTTTTCTTGACATGGCCGGCGGGCATGGCGGCAAACGGGGCCGAGAGGCGGACGATGACTCGGTGACGAAGTCCGGCAGTGGCGATGACGATGACAACGAGGAGGACGACGAAGACATCAACGCCAAACCCCACGCCAACAGCGGCGAGGAGGAAATGCCCATGTCGATGATGCTGCAAAGCAGCTGCGGTGAAGCAGACGGGATTGGCCACGTGGGGCGGCGCTTCCGGCTGGAGACCCGGAGGAAGGAGGAGGAGTGACGCCGGCGCAAACCCCCGGAAGAAAAATAATTTAAAAAAAATAATAATAATAATAATAAAAAGAAAAGATGGAGAGATAAATGCTGATAATTAAGAAAGTCCGACGAAAAGGGGGGAGAGAGAGAGAGAGAGATGAAAAGGAAAAAATGAATGAATAAATAAATAGAGAATGAAAAGAGGAGGAGATGAAGAGGAGGGAGACGACATGGCGTGACCGTTTTATTATTATTATTTCTTCTCGCGGGATGTACAGGGATGTGAGGGTGCGAAGGGGGAGGGGGATGGATGAGTGCAGGAAAATGTGTTGCGTGATGCGTGCGTCCAGTCGCCAGTCAACAGTAAAAGAAACAGAAAAAGAAGGGAAAAGAAACGAAAAAGAAAAAAGAGGGAGTGATGGCGTCATTCGCAGACGTACGTTACAAATGTTCATACGCCCATCATTCTTACTGGTTGAATACATTACCTGTGCCTCCCAGCAACAAACAAAAAAAAGGGGAGGGGAGGGCACGTGCAGCAATAACTTATTACGTAAAGACTTTGTAGAAATCACGGTGTGTGTTGCTGAGAAGTAAAGCAGGCGAACGGTGGTAAAGAAGAGCAGGTAGGAGATTGGAATAGAATGAGATGTCTGTGTCTGTGTGTGCGTATTGGCCTTAAGAAACAATTATATGTTCAGTACTCTCGCTCCCTCCATCTATCCATCTATCTCTCTGTATCTTTTGTTTGTATTTGTGTGTGTGTGTGTGTGGAAGGGAGAGGCGGATGGTGTTTGGTATGGATGATGACGATTTCTTTGTTGTTGTTGTTGTTTGTTTGTTTTGTTTTTTCTTGTGTGTGTGTGAGTTTCCTGATGCTTTTTTGTTTTTTTTGGTTGATTTCTTTTTTGTTTTGAGGAATCCCGTCGGTGGTGGTGGGGAGAAGAGGCGAGGGGTGTTATGTGGTGTGGTGCTCCATCATATATCCGCTGTGAGTGTTGTCCAGTTGTCTTTTTGACCCTCCCTTTTATTATTATTATTTTTCTTTTGCTTGCCCCCGCTGTGTGCATTGTGGCAAGGCGGCCACGGCGGTTGTATGCACCGCGTTATTTATTTTCTTTTATTATTATTATTATTGGTTGTTGTTGTTGTTGTTGTTGTTGTTGATGTTTACTGTACCCAATAGCAATTTTGTTGCCTCCGCTGGAGGTGCGAAGATGGCTGGGGACAAATGAGCGGAAGGGAACAGACGCATGTGGTGTGAATGGGGGTTTTATTGCCTCTCCTGTTGTTGAGAGTGGGACTGGCGGACATGTACACACATACAGAGAGAGGGAAAGGGACAAAGAGACATGGACCGGTGGATATACATAAAGGCATGTCTCTTTATTTGTGTT